ATTAAATCCTATTCCACCAATTGAAACCTCAACTATACTAGATCAATCAAATCACACTATTACAATATACTTTCATGTATATCTAGATGTATATCTTGGTAAATGATTGAGCCTGTTTTTTTTAATAAATCTTAATCATCAATCACCTTTTATATCTTGACTAAATTTTATTTTAAAGGTGTATGTCTCTTCTTAGAGAAGTAACCGATTATATACAGATTTAACGAACCAAGACATATACTTATATTAATAAATTGATATAGTTTGTTAATTTTGTACTTTAAGCACTAAACTGGACTGAAAGATACAAATAATTAATTATAAAATTATACAAATTGATACAAACAAATAAACAAAGTTAATGATGATACGTCGACGTTGACGTTTCCATATCTTGGTAGGAAATAAGTACCAAATTGTCTGGCTAATTTTTTATTGAATTTGATTTTAGATATTCTATATTACCTTGTTAGGTTTCAGTTTGATGAGTTGGTTGTATGATTTTAGGCAGAGTATTGTAATTTTTCCTTTGGATAAGCAGCACCGATTTCTTGAATGGATAGAGCAGCTAACCATTGACCCATGTCGATGGACTTTTCTAATGGTTTACCTTCGGTTAAACCAGCTAACATACCAGCAGCGAATGCATCGCCAGCACCGTTAGTGTCAACAATTTTAGAGCTTTCTAATGGTTTAACTGGGTAGGATTTTGTTTCATTCTTAGTGACGACAATGGTTGGTTCTAAACCATGGGTGAAGACAACGGTTCTATCTTCGGAGTCACCAACGATAGCCTTTGCAACGGCAGCTAGATCTTCTTTGTCACAAGTTAAACCAAATGATTCAGCGTAAGCAGCAGCTTCGGATTCGTTGGCAACAACCATAGTAGTGTATGGCAAGACATCTTCAACTTGTTGCTTGAAAAATTGTAAAATAAATGGGGCACTTAAGTTTAAGATAAATGGTTTACCAGTTTCTTTAGCATGCTTACCTAACTTGATAACAGCATCCTTAGAGACAGTCAAATGGAAACCACTAACATAGAATAATTTAGCAGCTTCAATGACAGACCAGTGTTTATCCAAATGGTCTGGTGTGAAAGAGTTAGCAGCACCTAAATCAGTAACCAAAGATCTGTCATGACCAGTGATCAAAGCAGCACATTTACCAGTACCGACATCTGGAATGATTTGGTATAAAGAGGTAACACCAGCAGCTTCATTTTCAGCAGCTAACTTATCAGCATATTTATCTTGACCAACAGAACCAAAATAAGCAACTTGGTCCTTACCCAACATATAAGCCACACCTCTAGCAGAATTTTGACCAGCACCACCTGCAATGTATTTAACATCTGGATAACTAGCTAATTCGTCATAAATGGCCATCTTTGCATCTTCAGATTTGGCATCAACCAAAATAGCATCATTAGCCTTTAAAGAATATTTGTTCAAATAATCTTGGTCAACAGTAGCTTGGATATCCAATAATGGATTACATAAAACGATTAACTTTGGAGAGGCAGACATATTGGAATTAGATCTTATTAATAACTGTGGTCTTGTATAAATTTATGCAGAGAACAATAACAACAATGCATAGATTAATATACCACATCCCAAAACTCTAACTTCAAATTTAAATGTCCAAGATCTCTTGTTCATCATCATCTTCTAAACTTTTTCACTTAGAAAAGTTTCGATATTTCAACAATTTCTAAAAGGCTTTCCACAGTAAGGGACAAGTTGAATGAAACGATAAGTGTATAAGATCGAGGATGTCTATGGATCAGTCCCATGTACGAGTCATCAGGACCATGCTTTATGGGATTGCATCATCTTTGTAGCTTTTGATGCACTTCTCTCATCAATATTGCTATTTTGATGGTTTAGGAATCAGTACCTTAACGACAGTCTCATAAGAACAAGTAAGTAGAAAAGAGGATGGCGAGTAAAGGTGCTACTTTGTTAACAGGTAGGATATCTATAGATTGCTTGATAGTATTTGTTAGACTACCTTGTTTCGAAGCTCAAAGTTATTGTTTATTTTAGCTGAGATTGAAGACAAGATCTGGAGATTGTTCTTTTTTATTATAATTGTTATATGTAGAAGATTTCATCCTGTAGAAATTAAGAATCATTGTAATTACAGTATTTGGAATCAAAGATCACTTGAATTCAGGTTTAACCATCTTATTTTTATTTTATTTTGTTGTTCTTCTGGTGCAATTGTGATAACAGTCTCTTGATACATATAATTGGTTACTTCAATCAATGGCTTAACCATCAGTTACTTAAAACAAAGATGAATTACAAGATAAAAATGTTGAACACAATGAAATTAAATTAACAAACGACAGTATATAAAAGAAACCAATGTAACCGTTATTCTTTAACTCTCTTTTCCCATAAAGCTCAAAACGTCAAATGGCATTCTAAAATTAATTATGCCCTTCATGCAACAGCATTTTCTACAGAACCAAGACCAAAACCAAAACCAAAATTAAAATTCAATTGCAATGAACATTAACGATTTAGAGCTACGAATCCCCCAGGCTGGTTAGTTTGAACTTTGTCTTGTGATACCCAATTTCTCATCTTCTTATTTAATGACGTTTTTTGTTCAACTAATTTCGATATTTAAATACTATAAAGTCCTTTCCATACTATATTTGAAAAATTACACTAATAATATACACACTTTTAATTGTTAAAAAGAGAAGGTATGTCAACAGAATTGATAAGCTAGAAGAGAACAGCGGTGTTGCGAGGAGTATATTGATTGTATTTAACTCTGGTATCACAATTGTATTTGGGTTTTCATCCTTTTTGTTTTATTTTTAAAGAGTGAACAATGTCTGATAACGATTCGGTTAGATTGGATAAAGAGAAAGGTATTGACCTGGCATTAGATCCTAATTTAATTGCACTTCCATTATATAATTCTTCTGGATCACCTTCGTTGAAACCAACCTTGGATAAGGAAGTTGAAGGATCTAGTGAAAATGAAGTACAAAATTTTAAAAATGTGGATATTTCTAACAAAGATCATTTATTGGTAAATAACCCTTATGAGGTATTTGGACAGATGCCATTGGATCAGTTTATTCCATTGATATTGCAAGAAAGGGGATCTGGATTCAATTTTGCTGATTTATCTGAGGATACTTTACTTCAAGAAATTCAAAATAAGGAATCCTCTGCAATTGACCTTGGAGAAGCTACCAGTGATGTCGTTGATGCCATGGATGTGGATTTCTCAACTGATGTTCTTGGTGAGCCAACATCTGATATAAATAACACAACAAACTCTGAAATTACTAGTAAGAATAGCGATGCTGGATTAACTGTTGGAAATGTAGATACTCAAAATGACCAAGTATCTCAAGAACAATTTATTAAAGCAAAGAAAGAAATGATCGAAGGTGTCAATCTTGCCATTAATGAATCTTCATTGGCACTAGAATTCGTATCATTATTGTTATCATCTGCTCGTGAATCGGCTGCTATTTCTTCATTATCACCATTTTTAAAGAAGACTGTACCAATCAATTCATTAAACAGTGATAAGATACCGTTGGAGGAAAAAACCAAACAGGATCAATTGGCACTATCAGTTTTAAACAAAGGATGGAAGTTGAAAAGTTTAAACGAATCTCGTCAAATCTTAAAAGACAATTATACTTCTATATCTCGAACGCTGGAGAAAGAGCATGAATATTGGAGAAAGATATCCAAATATATCACAAATAAGGACGTTATATTTAAGTTAAGAGATAAAGCTACAAACCAAAAAGTTTTGGGTATAAAATACGGTTATGAAGATTCTGGATCAACTTATAGACGTGATAGAGGCATTGCCAGTTTAAGAAATAACCCAGAAACAGGCAAACTAGAATTAGTGCCATTATCAAAAGGTTCTAACGAAGTAAGTTACGAATCAGGAAATGATAGGTTTATCAGAGTTAGGATATATACTAAAATTGAGTCAGAAGATGATGCTGTATTGAGTGGTGAAAGTTCATTTGATAAGATATTTTTTGAAACAAATGAACAAAGTAACTCTGAAGATATTAGAGGACAAATATCGAGACTAAAGGCATTGATCTTCGAAAAAGAATTAATGTATCGTTTGAAAAAAGAATGTACAAAATTAATATCATATGGTGTAACAGTAGAAAATGAGAATAAAATAGTTATAGAACTTCCAAATGAAAGAATTGAAATTGACTATTTATCGATTCAAGATTCTTCAGTTATCAATCATGAAAGAGATGCACCAAAGATAAATGATAGACGCGCTACTTTAATATTGATCACATTAAGACTGCTTCTAGTGGCCATGTTCAAGAAAGAACTTAAACAAAGACTCGAATCATCTAAGAGGACAACAAACCCAAATATCGATCATGATATATTATTAATAAGACCGGTATTAGGAAAAATTCGTCATCATAATCATAAAATTCTATTGAAACGAATACTAAAAGAACATGTTACTGTAGTTTTGGATGGAACAACAATAACTGAGGTTCCGAATGATCAAATTCCGCAAGACAAAAGTGAAACCATTACTTCAGCAGTTGATATTCATATCAAAAAACTAAGTAAAGAACTAGATGCATATTCTGAATTATTACAAATTCCAATTTCAAACTTTAAGATTGAGTTGCCTAATAAAGGTCGTTTAGAAATCACATTAAAGAGTCCAAATTACTGCAATGCAACAACAACTGTACAATACTTGAATGATTCTGATGTAATTATATTTGATGCTAAATTTTCAGAATTCAAAGAAATTGAAGAATTCTTAAATTTCATTGTTCATGAATATATCAAAGACAAAGCTGTTACTCAACCTGTAAAAGAAGAAACCTCAGCTATATAAATATATATATATAACTAAAATATTTAGAGAGAAGGGGAAAAAATTCTATTATAATCGGTAATTGATATACACATATATCTATATCTACATCTATATCTAACAAATCAAATCAAATTAAACAATACCCAATCGTTTACCATTATGACATCATACATCAGCTGTACTGTTCAATACAGTCTCATTCATTCATCATCACTAACTATATTTCGATTTCAATAAATCGTCGCTACGTCATTTCCCAAATAGCACAATGTATAAAAAGAGCCAAATATTAATACAAAATGTAATTAAGATATAAAATGAACTATTGATGTATATATGTTGTAAATAAGGTTATGGATTAGAAGGTATATATCTGTAGGAGGAAATAATTCAAGAAATATTGTCAAGATGGGTTACACATTAGCTATGATTGGTTGTGGTGTTATGGGCCAAGCTGTTCTATCAGCAATTTATAATGCACCAAAAGCTGAATCTTTAGAAGAGAAAACTAGATTCCCAGCAAAGATTATTGCAAGCAATTATGATGAAGAAAGTGCCAAGTTGGTAACTGACCTAATTAACGGTTTTTCTGAGTCTCCAAACGGTATTGTAGTCGAATCTACATGGGGTAAGAATGAAGAAGTAGTTGAAGAGGCGCAAGTTATATTTTTAGGTGTCAAACCATTTGTCGTTAACGAAGTTATGGAACCATTGATTGAAAAAGTATCTGGTAAATTATTGATTTCTATCTGTGCAGGATGGACCATTGAAAGCCTATCCAAGTATTCAAATCAAGTTTCAAGAATCATGACTAACACTCCTGCCAAATACGGTTATGGCTGTGCAGTAGTTTCTCATTCTCCACAAGTATCCATCTCCCAAAAGCAAATTGTAAAACAATTGATCAGTCAAGTTGGTAAATACGTTGAACTTCCAGAAAAGAACATGGATGCAGCCACAGCATTAGTGGGTTCAGGTCCAGCCTTTGTTTTATTAATGTTAGAATCATTGATGGAAAGTGGTATTAAAATGGGTATTCCATTGAAAGAAAGTAAAGAATGTGCAATGAAAGTCATGGAAGGTACTATCAAGATGGTAGAAGAGAGTGGTCAACACCCAAGTGTCTTGAAACATCAAGTCTGTACACCAGGTGGTACTACCATTGCAGGTTTATGTGTTATGGAAGATAAAGGTGTCAAAAGTGGTATTATCAGAGGTGTCGAAGAAGCCTCAATTGTCTCTGCAAAATTAGGTAAAAAATAAATATAATATATACGAAAGAAAACACCGCCACAAGCACTATATGTATGATATGTATATCTATTCTTCATAGCCGATTAGAACATTAATTTAATGTCACTGTCATATTATAGCTCAAACCAATCTAGTTAACTATTACATAGATTGATTGATCTCTCACTATATACACATCGTGAATTGTGATAACATACACATGAGATTCCAGCCAATCAGATCAGAGAAATCAGAGAAATCTTGAATAAGAACCCAAAGGCAAGAAAAAAAAAGATCTTGAAGAAATATCTTTAATATTTAATAGTTAATAGTTAATAAAAGATATTTTGTTTTATAATCTTTATTATAAAGAGCCCCCTTTTGTGTTTTAAAGGTTAGATTTTGAGGAATTGGAATCAAGAGAAACTTTGAACGTTGATCTAGGTTGAAATAATTAATTCAGAATTGAAAAAAAACCTATTGTTTTTCCATACAAGACTATTTTTTGTTAAATTTGGGGGCAATACAGTAATTTTTTTTAGTTAATATTTTTATTGTTATTGTTATTGTTATTGTTGTTTTTTTGTCAATCGATTAGTATCTGCTATATCCTTGTGTATATTCATATATTTGAATTATTAGCAAGAAATAAAAAGGTGCTGTAATTATCAATTTCAAAAAAAAATAATATTATTATAGTAATAATAATAAAGAATCTAAACTAGTTCAAGGTTTCATTGTTATTTGAAGAAAAACAATAAATTTAATAAATATACAATCATCATGGTTATGCCAAAGTTATACGCAGCTTCTTCTCGTACTGCATTGCAAGCTGCTAGACGTTTTGCTCCTTTAGTTTCCTCCAGAGGTATGGCTTCCGCTGCTCCTTTGGTTGGTAAGGTTAGAGCTGTCATTGGTGCTATTGTCGATGTTCAATTCGAACAAGAAAACTTACCTGCCATCTTAAACGCTTTAGAAATTCAAACTCCAAACGGTAAATTGGTTTTGGAAGTCTCTCAACATTTGGGTGAAAATACCGTTAGAACTATTGCTATGGATGGTACTGAAGGTTTAGTCCGTGGTGAAAACGTTATTGACACCGGTGCCCCAATCTCCGTTCCTGTCGGTAGAGAAACTCTAGGTAGAATTATTAATGTCATTGGTGAACCAATTGATGAAAGAGGTCCAATTAAATCTAAATTGAGAAAACCAATTCATGCTGAACCTCCTTCTTTTGTTGAACAATCTACTGAAGCTGAAGTTTTGGAAACTGGTATTAAAGTTGTCGATTTATTGGCTCCATATGCTAGAGGTGGTAAGATTGGTTTATTCGGTGGTGCCGGTGTCGGTAAAACCGTCTTTATCCAAGAATTGATTAACAACATCGCTAAGGCTCATGGTGGTTTCTCTGTCTTCACTGGTGTCGGTGAAAGAACCAGAGAAGGTAACGATTTGTACCGTGAAATGAGAGAAACTGGTGTTATTAACTTAGAAGGTGACTCTAAGGTCGCTTTGGTCTTCGGTCAAATGAACGAACCACCTGGTGCCAGAGCTAGAGTTGCTTTAACTGGTTTGACTATTGCTGAATACTTCAGAGATGAAGAAGGTCAGGATGTCTTGTTATTTATCGATAATATTTTCAGATTCACCCAAGCCGGTTCAGAAGTCTCTGCTTTGTTAGGTCGTATTCCATCTGCTGTCGGTTATCAACCAACTTTGGCCACCGATATGGGTTTATTACAAGAAAGAATTACTACTACTAAGAAGGGTTCTGTCACATCTGTTCAAGCCGTTTACGTCCCAGCCGATGATTTAACAGATCCTGCTCCAGCTACTACTTTCGCGCATTTGGATGCTACTACTGTCTTGTCCAGAGGTATCTCCGAATTGGGTATCTACCCAGCTGTCGATCCATTGGATTCTAAATCTAGATTGTTGGATGCTGCTGTTGTTGGTCAAGAACATTACGACGTTGCAACTAGAGTCCAAGAAACTTTGCAAGCTTACAAATCCTTACAAGATATTATTGCTATTTTGGGTATGGATGAATTGTCTGAACAAGATAAGATCACCGTCGAAAGAGCAAGAAAGATTCAAAGATTCTTGTCTCAACCATTTGCTGTCGCCGAAGTTTTCACCGGTATTCCAGGTAAGTTAGTCAGATTAAAGGATACTATCTCTTCTTTCAAGGCCGTCTTAGAAGGTAAATACGATCACTTGCCGGAAAATGCGTTCTATATGGTTGGTGGTATTGAAGACGTTGTTGCCAAGGCTGAAAAATTAGCTGCCGAAGCTAAATAAGCAGGTCTAGAAAAAAACTGAAAGGTAAATACATGGGTTTTGTTTTTTCCATTCCTTCTTATTTCAACTTTTTTTATATTCTAAATCAACCTGTAATGCAACACAAAATAAGTCGTTACTTTACATTTGAATGCCAAGTAACAATACGAACAAGATTTAGCATCTTGCATATTTCTTATTAATTCCTTTGATTTTTATATTCAGTATATATATATATTTTAAAACTTAGTTATAGTAACCAGTCAATAAATATAACTAACTATGATAAAAAAGAAAACAAAAAATAAAATTGTTGATTCAATCATTTAATTGAATTGACCCAAGATCGATGTGCATTTATAAACTAGTGACCCTTTAAAACTGATAAAAGTAATTAATTAAATAAGTATATTATTCTTAAACCTTAAACAAGGTGTGACTGTTTACATCCGTACATTTTATGAACAAACACCCGTGCATAACTTAAATATCATTTTCCTCATCGTTGTCACCTGATACCCGTGATTAATCTTCCAATTTTCCTCCTTTCCGAAAGAAATTGCCAAACGGAACAAAAAGTGCAATCATTTTCAATGGCTCAGACTACTCTGCATCAGGAAAAATTAGCATAATGCATACACCACTTCCTGTTTTCTTAGCTTGGCTTTTATATCATTTTACCTTAGAAACGATGCCTGTAAATAGTTTGGCATCGGTGCTAGCAGGACTAAGAAGGACTCACTAGAGAACTATGCCTTCCTCTGCACAGGGAGAAAATACTGTTCTAGGTAGAAATATCAATCATCTGTTCCCTACAAAAGACCAAAGCAGTTTGGGGTAGAACCGGTTATCCAATTCAAGTTATGTATGAATATACAGAGTTTATTGTATTCTCGGCCCTTGAATATCGGCCCAAGAGACGCAGTTTTTGTTTTTAGACTAGTTGTCGCAGCTCAGCTCATCGATGAAATTTCCTTGACAAAAAAATAATTTTTCAACTGAAAAACTAAGTACTACCAAACTCAAAATTCGAAATTCAAAATTCAGAAATCATATCGTTGCAGGTTCAACTGAGTTTATAGTCTCTTTTGGCAATTGTAAAAGACGTGATAGATAGTCAATATAGCAAGAACAACCTAAGAATCAAAGAATTAATTGTAGGATAGTACAATATTTTAACTAGTTGATAGTTATTGATGATATTTGGTACTGGTAATACTCTATGTATCCATCCAGTAGTTATGCTATTAGTTGATCTTCTTTGTAAGAATCGATTGAGTAGTAGGTAAGCTCAATACTTGAAATATAGTTTGAAAGTTTTCGAACTATCTATCTATCGTATTATTCTTGAAACATTTGAGTAAACTGTTAGAGTCTATAGCATTATCCTAACACGTACTATGTATATTCTTGTTGTTCTTGTCGTTCTATCCTATTCTATGTTGTTTTGTATTGTATTGTATTGTATTGTATTGTCCTATCGTAACACCCGAGCTGTCTTCGTAAACGTAGTAGTTGTTGTAGTTTGTCGATGTAATGTAATGTTTGTAGGTTATGGTTGGATTGGGTACGTAGAGTAAGATTGATGATGATATTGTTATTGGCAATGCTTGTTGATATGTATGTATGTGTAAGGCAGGAACAGATGCCTTTTTGATAGTATATATTAAATACCATTTAAAATATTATAGTTGAAATCTATCTGTGATTAATAAGAAAACCGTTAGAAAATAAGAATACCATCGAGGATGTCTGATATTGAAAACCCAGTTCAAGAAGAATTCGAAGTTATTGAAGAATTTACTCCAGTTGAATTAGCTACTGCTATTCCAGAAGAAGTTCAAAGAGCTCAATACGAAATTAAATTGTTCAACAAATGGTCTTTTGAAGATGTTGAAGTTAAAGATGCTTCTTTAGTTGATTACATCCAAATCAGACAACCAATCTTTGTTGCCCACACTGCTGGTAGATACGCCAACAAGAGATTCAGAAAGGCTCAATGTCCAATCGTTGAAAGATTAACCAACTCCTTAATGATGAACGGTAGAAACAACGGTAAGAAGTTGAAGGCTGTAAGAATCATCAAGCACACTTTGGAAATTATTTCTGTTTTAACTGACCAAAACCCATTACAAGTTGTTGTTGATGCTATCACTAACACCGGTCCAAGAGAAGACACTACCAGAGTTGGTGGTGGTGGTGCTGCTAGACGTCAAGCTGTCGATGTTTCCCCATTGAGAAGAATCAACCAAGCTATCTCTTTGTTGACCATCGGTGCTAGAGAAGCTGCCTTCAGAAACATCAAGACTATTGCTGAAACTTTGGCTGAAGAATTGATTAACGCTGCCAAGGGTTCTTCTACTTCCTATGCTATCAAGAAGAAGGATGAATTAGAACGTGTTGCCAAATCTAACCGTTAAAACCCCCTACATTTGTATTATATGTTATTTTATATTACAAGACAAAAAAATGAATTATTATTGTTATTATTATTGTTATTATTATTATTATTAAACCTATGTCTTAAAATATCTCAGTGATTAAGATGACATCTCCCAGTGAACAGATACCCACAAGAAGATAAATATACAGTAACTCAAGAACTTTCCTATCAGTATAAATCAATTTAATTAATTAATAAACAAGTTAATATAACTGAAACTAATATGAAAATTAACTAAATGATCCAACAGTATTTATCAAATGAAGACGTAGATATCACTCTTGAAATCCAATCCACATTAATTCAATTGGTATCTGGGACTAGTCAACTTAGTGTCTTGCCTGATTCATATAGACAGTATTTTTATTAAACTTTTGCTTTACTTAAAAGTATATAGAAACGCTTTCTGGCACACATACAAACACACACCAACTCACTCTAATATTACCCTACCTTTCATAAACTTAAGCCGGGTAATATAACACAGGCGCTATCACATTTTATTTTCCACCATCATCATCGTCATCATCATCATCACTGTGTCCTCCCCTCTGCTTTTCCCCTTTATCCCCCTTACAACCCTCTCCGGACCTGTCTCCGAATCAGGACATGCACAGGGTACCCCTAAAAGGGTTTAATGGGATTTCGCATTCGAATTCGAAATTGAATTGGTGTTCTCCTCTGCGAAAATATCGAAAATTGGTAGTTTTAGAGAATGTTACCTCTTAGATTAAAGGAAACGAAACGAAACGAAATGGCCTTTACAAGTAAGATAGCTTTGGGTTTGTTTGCATTTAAGATGACTTAATTTGACTAGGTCATTCAAAATACGTAAAATAAAATCAAAAGGAGTTTGGAACGGACCTCAAAAACTTCCATAAACTATATCGTTTTATGTCTGAATGACTTATTTAGAATCTAGCTAGATCTTTTATAAGAAGGGACACCTTCTCTTGATGAAAGCTGGTGAATATTTGTATATATATAAACGGGACTTGTTGTTGTAGTTGGATGTAAAGTATTCTCTTGTTGTCAGTTAAAGAAATCAATAATATATTGTGATTAGTTATATATATATTTATTATTTAGGTTGTACCCATCCTTGATTTTATATTTTTTATTATACAGACTACAAGAAATATTGTTAATAATAAAATGGAAAAAATGTCTGTGGATAGTGATCATGAAATGACCACTTTTGAATTTGAACAAAGTTTACCACATTTACCGTTACCAGATCTAGGAGAAACTTTAGATCAATTGAAAAAAAGTTTAGAACCTTTATATTATGCCGATGGATATTATAAAAATCCATTAGATCCTGGACAAATTTCAGATTTATCATTTGGATTAGAATCATTTTACAATTCTTCAGCAGCTAGTAAGTTACAAGAAAAATTAAATGAGTTTCATGCTTCTTTAGATTGCTATTTAGATAATCTATATTTAGATATTAATAATAATTCCTGTGCTGCAGAGGTTGGTGATGATGTATTGCCAAGAAATCCATTTTTAATTCTAAATGATGACGCAGTATCGGATATCCAACAGACTGAAAGAGCTTCTTTCTTGGTGAATTCCTCTCTAAGATTCATATCTGCATTAAGAAATGAAATTTTGACTCCAGATGTTAATCCTAAATCTCAAAATCCTTTATCCATGCGTCCTTATTTTAATTTATTTGGTACTACTCGTTATCCCGTCTTCGAAAAAGGTGAGGTTGAAAGCTTCGATTTAAATAAACCTTACACTGTCTCTGATTTAGAATATTCTAGTGATAATGAATTAGATGATACTGATAATTCAAGAGAACCTTCAATGGATACTAGATCCACTGATGAAAACGACATTTTTTCAAGACATGGTATCACTTTGAAAAGTTACCCAAATTCAAAACATATTCTAGTAATATCTAAAGGTCAATATTATACCATTGATGTCTTGGATGAAGCAAATAATACCATATTTTCGTGTGCTGAATTGAATCATATTTTCTCCCAAATTTTAAAAGATTCATTGGAAATTTGTAATTTTAACTCAACAGCATTAGGAAGTTTAACTTCTCATTCGTACAAGAATTGGAAATACGCAAGAAAAAGATTACAAAAAAGATATCCAAATGAGTTGGAATTGATTGATTCTGCATTATTCGTACTAATTTTGGATGACTCAACTAGTTGTGAACCTGCAGACATATCAGAAGATTGTAAAAGATTGTTCTATGGAACTTCAGTAATTGATGCTCATGGTAATCAAGTTGGTTCATGTACTTCGAGGTGGTACGATAAATTGCAATTAGTTGTAACGGGTGATTCAAAATCCGCATTTATATGGGATTCATTTTCTTGTGATGGTTCTGTTATTTTAAGGTTTATTTCGGAAGTTTATGCAGAATCAATTCTAAGACTAGCCAGTGACGTTAATGGCAATGATTCAAAATTCACATTATGGCCAAAAATAAAAGACTTGCCTCATAGAAGGAATAAGAATGATCAAGTTGAAATTGATAAATGTGTTAATAAAATCGAGTGGTCCTTCAGCAACATTTTAAACACGCATATTCATCTTTCTGAAACAAAACTAGCTGATTTAATATCCAAATATGACCTTTCATACTCATCTATACCGTTTGGTTCTAGGGCTGCGATGAGATTTGGTGTCAGTGCCGATTCTATGATTCAAGTAGCATTACAAATAGCACATTATGCATTATATGGTAAAATGGTATATGGTTTGGAACCAATATCAACTAGAGGTTTTAAAAATTCAAGATCCGCTTTCATCAATCTTCAGAGCAAAGAATTATTAGAGCTATGTCAAGTTTTTATTTCTAATTCCCTTAGTGGGCCAGGAAAGTTGAAAATGTTCGTTCAGGCTTGTAAATTGCATCACGAAAAGGTCAAAGAGGCAAAAGTTGGCAAAAGTTTTGAAAAGCATTTTAATGCGTTAAAGCATTTATACAGATTCCACGAACACTTTGGTATTGAGTTTACTGTTGAAGAAGAGAAGATAGCCAAAAATGTTTTTGAAAATTCTTTGATAGAGCCTTTTTCTTCACCTGAATTAATAGTAGCTAATTGTGGGAGTGCTGCAACCTCTACTTTTGGGATTACTCCTGCCATACCTCAAGGTTTTGGAATTGGTTATATTATTAAAAATGATCAATGTGACTTAACCGTTACTTCTCAGTTTAGGCAAGGTAAAAGACTCATGTTCATGTTGAATTGGGTTCTAAATGAACTAAGGGACTATTTGAGAGAATTGAGAGCAATTGATAAAGATATATCGGGTGTTAAAATCAGTCCAATGGTTGATAGATTGTATGAAATGGATAACGCTTTGAAGAACACCCACTTAAGCAAATCTAGTTCTGGAGTTGCAATTAACGGTGGTTTTGGGTTCTTTGATTTAAAAGGTCATATGGATAGTAGGGGTGTGTCAGTTATGAATTCCAGGAATAATTCTAGCGTTTCATTAGGATTGACTTATTTTGAGTCGAAGAATGTAAATGATAGTAATAACACATTGCATTCTACGTTAATGCAATCTTCAAATTTTCAGGCACCTACTGAGGAGGAAAAACTTGACACCGGTTTACAAATTCAAAGAATGGTACCTTCATCATCAGTGGGTTCCGAATATTACGATACATCAAGACGACCTTCTACGAAAAGGTCGAACGTTATTGATTCTAGGTTTGAAATTAATTTCGATCGTGGTCGTGTAGGTAGAAAGGTTACTACTTTCCAATGAGCTCATATATCCTCTTTTATCAAACAACAGATTAACGATTCCAATTCATTTTTTCACATAGTCACCTTCTATATTATGTTTTTTCTTGATCAACTTCATAAATATGACATTGTTTATCCTTCTATATCAATTTAGAAATATATGTTACTTAAAATAGAAATAGAAATAGAAATTATTCTAAATATTAATTCACTTCCATCCAATCCCTTTGTACTCATCAGTAACCTTCCTAACATAACGTCTGACGCTGACATGGTTGTCCATCATTTGTCATCACGTGATTTTCAATATTTTTTTCGATTCGTAAATTTGGAAAAATTTTTTGAGAAAAGTGAAAAGTTCGAATAAGAAAGCTAGATGAGGTAGAAGAGAGATGATAATAACACTTAACTTAAAACAACGTTAAATCAAACTTGGACAAGATTGATAGAAGACCCTATCAGGAGAGTAAGGATCCTTTAAGAATAAATACAATATGGCTGACTTACAAGATTTAGAACCAAGCATTGTCATTAACGGTGACTTAGCTCCAGAAGATGATATCATTTATGAAGAAGAAATGGAACTAGATGAAGAACTAGTTGTTGAAGAAGAAGAAAAGCCAAAGAAGAAGGTCATGTTTACTGGTATTGATGAAGAAGCAGATGAGGAGCAAAGAAAGCGTGAATTCGAAGAAGGTGGTGGTTTACCAGAACAACCAGAAAATCCTGATTTTACAAAATTGAATCCATTATCTGCTGAGATTATTAATAGACAAGCTACTATTAATATCGGTACCATTGGTCACGTCGCACACGGTAAGTCTACTGTTGTTAGAGCTATTTCAGGTGTTCAAACTGTCCGTTTCAAGGATGAATTGGAACGTAACATTACTATTAAATTGGGTTATGCTAATGCAAAGATATATAAATGTCAAAACCCAGAATGTCCAGAACCAGACTGTTATAGATCATTTAAATCTGATAAAGAAATTCATCCAAAATGTCAAAGACCAGGCTGTGATGGTCGTTATGAATTAGTTCGTCATGTTTCCTTTGTCGATTGTCCAGGTCACGATATTTTAATGAGTACTATGTTGTCTGGTGCTGCTGTCATGGATGCTGCTTTGTTATTAATTGCCGGTAATGAATCTTGTCCACAACCTCAAACTTCCGAACATTTGGCTGCTATTGAAATTATGAAATTGAAACATGTTATTATTTTACAAAACAAAGTAGATTTAATGAGAGAAGAAAGTGCATTAGAACATGAGAAATCTATTTTAAAATTCATCAGAGGTACCATTGCTGATGGTGCTCCAATTGTTCCAATCTCTGCTCAATTGAAATACAACATTGATGCAGTCAATGAATTTATTGTTAAGACAATTCCAGTTCCACCAAGAGATTTCATGATCTCTCCACGTTTGATCGTTATTCGTTCTTTCGATGTTAACAAGCCAGGTACTGAAATTGATGGTTTGAAGGGTGGTGTTGCTGGTGGTTCTATCTTGAACGGTGTCTTCAAATTGGGTGATGAAATCGAAATTAGACCAGGTATTGTAACAAAGGATGAAAAAGGTAAAATTCAATGTAAGCCAATTTTCTCGAATATTGTTTCTCTTTTTGCTGAAACAGAACGATTTGAAAATTTGCTGTTCCCAGGTGGGTTAATTGGTGTTGGTACTAAGGTTGATCCAACATTATGTAGAGCTGATCGTTTAGTTGGTCAAGTTGTTGGTGCTAAAGGTCACTTACCAAGTATCTACACCGATATCGAAATCAATTACTTCTTGTTACGTCGTCTATTAGGTGTCAAAACAGATGGTCAAAAACAAGCTAAGGTCAGAAAGCTAGAATTAAATGAAGTTTTAATGGTCAATATCGGTTCCACTGCCACTGGTGCCCGTGTTGTTGCTGTTAAGGCTGATATGGCTAGATTGCAATTAACTTCTCCAGCTTGTACAGAAGTAAATGAAAAGATTGCCTTGTCCAGACGTATTGAAAAGCATTGGCGTTTAATTGGTTGGGCTACCATTAAGAAAGGTTCTGTTTTGGAACCAATCGCCTAATATCAAACGTTGTATTAAATTACCACATCTTCATTGTTTTCTCAAATAATAAGCATATACATATGTATAACTAACATCTATTCTACTTTGGTTAATAAAAAGAACAAAAATATCTTAGTTTAAAATCTCATTATGAATCTATAATTAAAAAGTGTTTATTAAGTAAATAAATTTTATGCTAAATTTATTAAATGCTAAAAACATGCCAAACAATAATAATAATCTTTGTAAAAGGTTTCAAACCTATTTTATTTCGTATTCGCTTACTTTACCGGATCTTTATCATGAAAGGCATTTGATGCTAATGCTTCTGAATAAACATCAGACTTCAAGAACTTTGGTAAAGAATCAATTTTCATTAATTTAAACATCTTTTCACTAACACCATCAAACAAGGGAAATAGATTCTTCAATATGTTTAAAGTAGTTGAAAGTTCATCGTTTTCAGGAACTATGAAAGTATTACCTTTGAGCTCAGTCAATGGTTCGCCATTTGATTTAATATTTAAGCTCAATGAACTAGGTTTATAGTCACGGAATGATGAAGAAGATGATGATCTACCATTAAATGCCTTATAAACAGCTGGTTCGGGTTTTTCCAAATTAACCTGTCCCAGCACTAAGTGTTCTTCAATTTTATCCGTATTGGTATCATTTAATGAAGTTGTACTACCAAAATCTGCATTAAATGATTTCGATAATGGTGATTGTGGGTTTAACATTATAGCTGTAATTGATTCTCTTAGAACATGGTCAATGTTTAACTGATAAGGCGCACCTATCATTATGTATGTTGAATAAATATGGTATGTCATTTCTAAACATTCATTGGCAAGTTTAGTGAGAGCACTGTCAATAGTTTTCTGGATGCTGTTATTTAATGAACGTTGTTTATTTGGCCAGTTGGAATTTGAAGTCCTTGATTCAAGTAACTTCTTCAATTGTGTCATTTTCTTCAGAAATTTTTTGATTTCAATATGAGCATCTAAGTTTTCGACACATAGTTCTTTTTCTAAAAATCTCCTGAATAAAAATCTCATCCCAGGATCTCTTAAAATATCATCAAGAGTATTGAATTTAGAATCAAATTGGTGGTTATTCTCTAAATTATCACTGTCATTATCAAAACTACCGTCTAATGAATGTTTATCATCGGCAACACTCATTTTTCCAAAGGTTATATCAATATGCTCGGAGTTTGGCGTAACTACTGATTTTTTAGTAAACTTCCCTAATGCTTTTTTAATTCCAGATTCTGTATTCCATTGTACAATTTCCCATCCAATTTTACTTAAAGTATAGTATGAAGACCTGCTTATATGAAATTTTCTCTTTGAATTTTCTGATGGGGGTAATAAAATTGGTACAATTAAGCCCTTTTTAAGGAAAAGTGCTGCAACGGATACTGCTTCTTTTGGATAGATAATATCGGTACAATCCATTAACCATTGCCATAATGCTTTAGTAGTAAAACAGTAGTCTATGATAGTTTTGTTTCTCCCAAAGCTTTTTGCCTGGAATAACCGAACACCTTTATTTGACACATAATACTGAACATGAGAATCTGAATCAGGGTTGGTAAAAAATTTATGAGCATATGGAGATACTCTAGTACTATCGTTAATATCAACATCAGCCAATTGATCATACCACGATAATTCAGATTTTCTATTAGATATATCACCTTGGAAGCCAAAATGACTGTTATAATCCATATTTTCAAAGCTAAATGATTCATTATTGTATTCCAATAATTCTGATAATTTTGGCAACGAATCTGAAGAATTGGTAGGTAGCCAAATATTTGGAGTAGGGCCCATCACTTTAATAAATAGAATATGTATTAGATAATCACTATGAACAATTGAGTCAGTGATTGAACTTCTTTCAAATGTGAAAAGTTGCATCGAATTAAAGTTTGATAATAATATTTTTGGAATCTTTTTAAGGCCTATATCTCTGATATATTTCTGTAAAATTGCTATACCCTTAGGGGTAGGTTGTAGTAAAACTTTGTTTTTTGGCTCATTTCTTGTTCTATCAGCAGGGGTATGTAGTAATTTTGCTTCCATGAATATCTTTATTAAATAATTAGCCAGTTCTGGTTTAATAGAGTATGAAATACTAATCGATGTCGCATTCATATCAACTTGTAATTCTAACTTATTCATCTTTTGGACAGCATCTTGAAGTGAAAAAGAAAAAGGGTAGCTCTTTGAGAAATTGAAGAATTTCTTATGTTCATTTGGATTCTCTTTCAAATCTAAGCATATCAGAAAGATTGAATATACAACCTTTAAATTGTCAGTAAATATTAATCCATTTGGTGTCCGATTAAAGCTCTTTGATGAGCGCTCATGTAATGTAGTGTTACTAGTCGACACAGTCATTATCACACCAAGAGATCTGGTAGTTCAATAGTTTTAATACTTGAAAAAAAATAAAAAAAGGAAAAATGAACACTGACAAATTCTGAGCACTGAGGAAGGCGATTAAAGAAATAAAACGTTCAATTAACTAGAGTATCGTATCGTATCGTATCGTATCGTATCTCTTCAGGGCTCGATCGATGAGAACCGTTGTTAATATATTGGTAGTGATGACAATGTTGATGCTGATTCAGGTGGTAGTGGATAACCTGTCTTCTTCTCTCTATCTTTAACATTTAAAATGTCAAATGAGATGATAAAGAGAAATGAAATGATTCAATTTAATAAATGCAAAATTCATATGCAGTATATAAACTCCTTAATTCGCCAATGAGATAAACGGTTTTCACTCCATCTCAAACAAGATCTGTAACAAGTTTGAAACATTGGAGCTATTTGTCTATACTTAAAGTTTTGCTTGCCCTGATTGATAAACGCTGTAACATTATGAAATCTGAAACATTGGATGCGTCCATAGTAAAAACTCGCGTAGTACCTCAAAACTCTTCAATTTCGAAACTCATCAACAAAATAAATTTGGAGCTGGTGACAATTGGGAAAAGGACAACAGGTTTTGAAAAAGTTGTTGCTAATCTGTCGAGATTAAACAGTAGTTAAAATTATAAACTATTATGTAAGTAGTTGGTTGAAACAGATGGCCAGTTCAGTAGTCATCAGTAAAAATCAGCAATATTTCCACTATCTTTTCTAGTCTCTAGTCGTTCAGAATTCTGATTCTTATTTCCTGTAGTCGGATGATTTTGATTCTTGTTATCCTTGCTTGGATTTGAGGATACATTTTTATTTGAATTCCATGCTCTTGTACCGCTAGAAGGATCGTTTCTAGTGTCAATTTTTGTAACAGAACTACCATCTGAGTTCGAGTTTCTATTAGTGTTACTACTATTGTTATGGTGATTGTTATGGTTATGGTTATGGTTATGGTTATGGTTATTGTTGTTCTTGTTATTTTTATTTTTATTACTGGAGTCTTTCTCAATCATGGATTCTGTTACATTATTGTTACTGTTACTGTTGTAACCTCTATTGCGGTTTTGGTGAATAATTTTATCATTTCGTTGATAATTTCTTTGATTATTCTTATTATAACCTTTATTGTTATAATTGTTATGTGACACGTTATTACTATGGTTTCCACCATTATTCATTTGATTATTGCTGTTTCTTGTATTATGTCCATCCTCCTCATCTCCTTGCATGTTCCTTGAGTAATTTCCATTTCCTTGATTCTGACGCTTTGTATATCTACCATACTCGTTGTCCTTTTGATTCTTTTGGTATCCTGAATTGGACCGTTTTTGAACATTAGTGTATCTATTGTTATTACTATTGACATTTCCATTACCGTTTGAATTGTAGTTATTATTATAATGGTTATTATTCCCTGATACATTATAACTATTTTGGTTATCATAATTGCTACGCTTTTGTTGGGATTCAGAGCTGTAACTAGCATTTACGTTGTCGTTGGGAGCAATATTGGGATTACTGGTATTACCATTATGGGACTGTTGATTTCTATTTATATGATGACTTTTTTGGCTGCCATAATTATTAGTGTGGCTATAGTTGTTTTGGTAGTTATTATGTTGATGCTGATGTTTGTTATAATGGCCTTGAGAAATTGATTCAGAACTATTCATATATCTTAAATTAGTCTTTTGGTGCTCTGGGTTATTTGGGAATCGAGCTGTATTGCCATATTGTTTGGAATTCTGTTGGTTTGGGTTTTGCTTGGAATATCGGTCATTGACAAATCTTGAGTTGGGATTATTACTACCACTATTAAAATTGGCATTGTTCGATTCATGTGTTCTTTGTGGAAATTTTTGATACGGTTTCTTATGGATTTGGGTTTCATTTGAATGTAAGTTGATATCTTGTTTGGATTGTTTCATTTGTAAATTACCATCACCAGACTTGTTTTCGTTGTTTCCAGCCTCATTTATATGTCCTTGTGGTGCAGTTGGAGCCTTCTGTGACATTGTCTGATGCATCTCTTCTTTATAACGTTTGATATCGGACTCGTGACTCTCTTCGCACAATTCACACAATATTTCTGAAGGCAAAGGCTCCTCCTTAAAGAATGGATGTTGCATAGCAGACATTGCAGTTAATCTTTTGTATGGATCCAACGCTAACAAACCTTTTAAGAAATCTAAGCCAGTGTCATTTAAGTAACTGCCAAATCGTTCAGTAAGGGTTTCTGGGTAGCTTGTTCTTGTTAACTCAGCACCTGGTAAATATTTTGCCAACTCCCAAACTTCATCTGTAGGTGTCCCCATAAGCTTAAAAATAACATGACCTTGGTCTATATCACTGGTTCCTTGTAATATAGGCTTTTTTTCAAAGAATTCTGCAAATACACATCCTATACCCCACATGTCAACAGCTGTTGTATATTGTTTATCACCCAGCACTAATTCTGGAGCCCTATACCATCTAGTTACGACAACAGATGTGTATTTAGCTCCCATACCAGCACCCCCAGGGTACTTTAAATTTGGAGGGGAACCGTAATACATTCTTGCTAGACCAAAATCCGCTAATTTAAGAATCCCACAATGATCGATAAGGATATTAGCTGCTTTGATGTCTCTATGCATAAATTTTTCACAATGTATGTAATTAATCCCTTCTAATAACTGTAACATCATATTTTTTATATCGCAAAGTCCTAAATTTATTCTTGGGTTATGAAGAATACCAGACAAATCTGCAATCATATATGGTAAAATCATATAAAATGACTTATTAATAGTAGGTATACCTTGTTGAGAATTTGTTGGTGTGGAATTTCTGCTATTACTGTCTTCTGGTGAATAGTCATAGACCATTTCTATTAATTTTATGATATTTTTATGGTTCAGTTTCCTCAAAATTGTGATTTCACGTTGAGCTGTAATGGGAAATAAATCTTTTTCGACATTTATAATAATTTTTTTCATTGCAACTTGTCTTTGAGTCTCTAAATGCACACCTTTATAAACTTCACCGAAGGTACCTTGGCCTAATTTTTTTTCCTCTTTGTAACGGTTCTTAAAGGTCGTACATCCATATAATTTCTCATCACTTCTTGGTTTCAATTCAATAAATGTCAAGTTAGTTTGAGGATCGACTTGAACAGTAGGTATTTGCTTCACCTTACCAATTCTATATTTAAACTCTATCTTTTTCTCACTTTCTACACTACCTTCAGACATCCTGATTTGATATACACTATTAAGCGGTATTACAACTATTTTAATCAGTATAAAATAAGTGTTGGCCTCACACAGTTACCCTTTAGAATACTAAAATACGCTTAAACATTAATTTGACTTAAAGGTTAATATTACTCTTTTTATATAGCTTAAAACATTAGATGCTTTCGTTAAGCCCATTGAAAAATTATTGAAGGGTAATTAGAGAATAGGAAATACGAATTCAGTATTTCGTATGATGTGATATGTTATGATAGGTAAGTAAGTAATAAATACCTAATAATATGTAATGAACCTCTAATTGTCTCATAAGCTTTAGACGTTTAATTAGTTTATTTATATACAATTGTAATTAATCTCATTCATTCTCGATAGTAGTTGAAAATTATACGTTTACTTTTCATTTTCTCTTTTGGAGCTAGGATAAGGGAACCATTTATTTTCTTATTAGAAGATTTTTAGTTTTTAAGACCTTACTCAATACAAAACTATTATTATACATTTCTCTATTTATATACTCTGTTTATATGTATGTATGTATATATATATATTCAAACTTTATGATTAATATCTTTACAATGACTTGATCATGCTGTGATTATATTCTTTCACAATGATAACTTCAAAACTTTTACTTTTCGAATACATTGTTGTTCAATGTTGTTAGATATCTTATTTTTTACCGGTAACTTCCCATTCACCATCATCTTTGTCATCAATTGATAATTGAGCGGCTTCTTTTTCTAAAGTAGTAACTTCTTCAACTGGAGTGGCCTCTTGAATGGTAGTTTCTTCTTCTTCTTCTTCTTCGTCATCGTTACTTAAGACAGAAAAGGAAGATTTTTGCATCTTTGGTTTTTCTTCTACGACTTCGGTGGCAGCTCTGTCAGTTCTGTCAGTTCTTGGCTTTCTTTCAGAAAAGTTAGAACCTCTGGCGGCACCCCAGTCTAAGTCTGGTTCGTCCTTTCTTGGCTTTCTTTCCTTGAATGATCTACCAGAAGCACTTCTAGCAGCACCCCAGTCCAAATCTGGTTCTTCTCTTCTTGGTTTTCTTTCAGCGAAGTTAGAACCTCTGGCGACACCCCAGTCTAAGTTTGGTTCTTCTCTTCTTGGTTTTCTTTCAGAGAAGTTGGAACCTCTGGCGACACCCCAGTCTAAGTCTGGTTCTTCTCTTCTTGGTTTTCTTTCAGAGAAGTTGGAACCTCTGGCGACACCCCAGTCTAAGTTTGGTTCTTCTCTTCTTGGTTTTCTTTCAGTGAAGTTAGAACCTCTGGCGGCACCCCAGTCCAAATCTGGAGCAGATGATTCATCTCTTTGGAAGTTTGAACCTCTGGCACCACCCCAGTCAAATTCATCACCACCATTTCTGTAACCGAAGTCCTTTCTTGGAGCAGCAACAGAAACATAAACTGTACGGTCGTTCAACCTAGTAGCGTTAAAAGTTAAAGCAGTGACTAAGTCTTCACGTTCCTTGAAGGCAACAAAAGCCAAACCCTTCAAACGTGAAGGATCTCTCATGTCTCTTGGTAAACTTAATTCTTCAACAGCACCAGGCTTTTGCAAACCATCTTCAATCCAAGCTTGAACACCTTCTGGGGTAATATCCCATGGAATGTTGTTGATAATAGCTCTGTAAGGTGGAGAATCAGGAACAGGGTATTCAGTACGTTGGAAATCTCTTTTAGCACCTTGTAAAGCAGGATCTAATCTGGAAGCACCGTAGTTACCAGATGAACTACCGCCAAAACTGCTCTTTTTGTTGACAGCAACTAAATCTTCCAATGGAATAGTATTAGCTTGCATGCTTTCAATAGGAATATTGATCTTGTTCAAATCAACATCTTCCTCGGACCATGATGAACCAAATGATTCATCATTCAAGAAAGAGTTCAAATCCATCTTAACATTCTTCTTTGGTGGTGCCATCTTGAATTAGTTACTAATGTTGGGATCCTCTTCACGTAAACTTCTCAAAAATATTCAAAAACTATAAGCACAGTTGTCGTAGCTTATAAGTCTGCCTTATTTCAGGATATTAGTTGCCCTTATATAGCTATATTGTTCGTGATAATCCAAATATTGTGACTGTCCCATCGGTTAACCTTTCATCTTTTTAATCTCATCTGCTGCTTTATTCTTTCAAAAGAAAAATTTTTCACCATAACGAGAAGTTGTTATGAGGGTAACCTCAAATCCGAAGTGTCTGATTTTTTAACAATGAGGTGTCACTATGAAGATAAGGTGAAGGAGCTTTAAAGTGAAGGAATATAACTCTAGAGAGATAAAATTAATATTAGTTGGAGTATGAATGGGATAGTAATTGCAATACCTCTATAATAATTTGATTTCAACTATCAATATTAATTGTTATTAATATTGATAACACCCTGGTAGATTTCATAGATATCTGTATATATATCGTGTCAAACGAAGTACAATGTGTCCTCATCACTCACTAATTATCAACACCATCGGACCTTAAAGGAAAGATCATCAGAATAGCTCATCATATATATCCATCTCATTTTCAATTGATAATAATTTGTATCTTATGTTATTGTTTTATTGGAACATCGATTATTTTTTAATAATGGTTTCTTTAATAATCACAAAGCAAAAATTCTAATTTACTACAATTATTCTTATCATATCTGTCTAAAACTTTCATCCTGGACCGTATTGAAGAAAGGAAATTTTTAGGACAATCATCTCAAGTTTTAGTTAAGCTAAAGCTCATATCTCTAATAAGACATGATTAGAACTTGTTATAAACTACTTGGATGTAATTTCAATTGTAAATATGTAGTTTTACAGTAAAAACTTTAAATATAAATTCACTCCTTAGAGAGGAGGGTGTTGGAATCACAAGTTAAAACCCTTAAATTGCTTTACTAATAACAACCTCTTAAATGGATTATTGTTCTCACGGGAGCTTAAAAATGATTTATAATGAATCTTAATGTATATAAAGTTCTATCCCTCGTGTTCATATGTTTCTTCGACTCCTTCCGATATCATATAAGATTATCAACTTAATCACGATCTCATTTGTTTACTACTTTATATATTTTCAGTAGCTATCTTTCAATGTAAATCAATACAAGTTAAATCTACAATCCGGCTAACAGTAATATCTTTCATCTTGTATTTTTATCGTTCATTTTTAAAAGTTCGATGCTGCGCGGCAAAAATATATATATATATATATATATATAATTACAATTATATAAATAATAAATAGGTTTAACTTTATATAAAGCCGGAATACTAAAAGATTGATTTAGTGGATTGAATTGTTCTTTATTAACTTAATCCAGATATAAGAGATTCATCTTTTAATTTTAGTGTCTTGGCCAATAGTCAGGTAATAGAATATTATTGTGGTGTTTCTGGGAAAATTTGACGATTAAGTCAATATCTCAGAGTCATTTGTGAGTTGAAGAGTTCAAGAGATAGCCGCTAAAATGGTATATAATTCAAGAATGTATTATTAATGAAAAAGTTGAATCTGCTTTTGCCATTCATTCATAATTGTTATTTTCTGTGTGTTTTTTAGCTCCTAATTAAGCAGCTTCTATTATAGTTAATAAGTAAAAACTTCAGGGTTGGTCCTAGTTGTATATTTCCCTCAAGAGAAATTCCTCCTAATAATGTTTATGTTTATGTTTAAAAAGATCCTCCACTTTTGAATAATTCTGTTGTTTCCATGCCGCCATTGTGAACTAATCATAAATTATTCTTCCTTTCCAACAACAGAAAGCACACGTGAATATCACATGACTGCCAGGGGTAAAAAACTCCTTTCTAAAACGTTTCTTTTTATGCACGCACCGTCACTTTGACTTTTCTGCGTTTTCCCTTTTCATTCAATTTCGAAATATAAACAAAAAAATTTTTCTTCAAATATAACCAAGACTTTAATTTTGAACTACGTGATTGTATTAGTGATAAAGTAAGGCGGCTTACAGTAGTCCTCTGACAGAGATGAAGTGATTGAGTGATTGAGTGATTGATTGATGGATTATTTGCGTGTGTGTGTGTGTTTCTATCTCTATCTCTCTTTCTCTCTTCATTTTTCTTTTTTCTTCAATTTCTCTTTCGATTTGGTTTACATGGATCCCAGATGAATGTCGTAAGAATGAATTCGACAAAGAACAACTATTTATTATTGTCATCCCCATCCCATCCCCTTGAACCATTTCTCTGGATTTTTGTGAGGAAAATTTAATGCTATCCCCTTGAACCATCTTCGAAATTTATCAGGAAATTTTACATTAATTACATCCCCCCCTTCACCCCCGAAATTGGTTTCTATTTTGATAATTGATACGGCTTCTACTTATGATTAATGAAAAAGATTACTTAGGTGTGTTGCTGGTTTGTTTATATCTTCCATTTTTCATTTGTAAATAGAGACAGGCCTTTTCGAAAGGGTAGTACTGCAGCTTACAATTAGACTTGGTGTTCAATTGTCTGGATTCTGTGGAGCCATCTCTACGATTGTATTATAAAAAAAGATTTTTGCATTAAAAATTTTTAATTTATTCAAATAGGAAAACGAGTGTTATATATATATATGGCATATTTCGGTCAAGTTACTAACTCTATTGAATTTTTTTCACATCTCTATCTATAAAACACCATCGAGCTTTTTGCAGTTTCGTTATCGAAATAAACATCGTTAACATCTAAACCGGACGGTGGTTATAGTTTATAATATTCAAATTATCAAAAATTATAAAGTTAGATTTAGAGCTAAGAGAAGATAAATAGGATTTCTTATCTAAGATTATCTCAATATGTTGTATAAAGGGTTGCTAATCCTAGCATCATCTTATTTATTCTGTTTATTTTTTCTAAATTTTGTTTTAAAATTATTTACAGGCCTATCGATTGGATTTTTCAATCCATTCAAATTTAAGCTTTGTAATATTCGTTTCAAGAATAAAATTAAAATTGAGCTAATTGAATTTAGTCCTTTTAGAAAGAGAGTTAGAATTGCTGGTGTAACGTTATCAGGCATACGTAATAACGATTCTAAGAAATCTACAAAGGTATCTAAAAAAAATGTCAGTCCTAAGAAAGAGAAGAAACCGTTCAAGTTACCAAGTATTGTTAAAAAATATATTCCTACTGTTTTAAGAAGCATAGATAATCTTCATATAATTGCCGACAGAATCAATTTCAAAGATGAAGGGTTAAAGATCGAAACCATTGGTACGATTTTAAGTTACGATACCAAAACAAAATTTCTAAGTTATGAAATATTTCTAAGGAAAGCTTATACTAATGAAACTGTTATTTTAACTGATAGTACATTTAGCACAAAAGGTAATATCATTATCGATAATGTGGGAAACTCCGTACCTGTTGACCAATTGTCTTTTGACTTCAAACTAGGTGTATTAACTCTCCCAATGACATATTTGAAGCAACTGAAGAACTCAAAAAAGGGAAGCCAAGTCGTAAATGAGACTGTAATGGAGCAAGGAGGAGTCGAAGGAAAAGAATTAGTAGAAGAAGAAATCGGAGAAGCTGATATCAGAGCTGCTCTTTTAAAAATCCGTTCTGCTTTAGATAAGGTAAGAACTACAATTAGTCCAGTTTTTGAAATTAATTTCTACATGGATAAACTTTTAATAATGGATTTACCTATGACAAAGCTTCCTCAATTATCAACCGTAAGTGAGAAGTTAACCTATCATGTTTGTGCATCTAACGTGACCTTGAATTTGATAAAATTTCAGAAGTCTTATCCTGGGTTTAAGCTATCGTTCAATGATGATGATACTCCAATAAAAATTAATGCCAATTTTTCAAGAGCTAATGCTGCTTTAAGTATTAGAAGAGATGGTTCAGATACCCCACAAGTATGTAAATTTCTGGAGATTCCTAACATGAATGTGTTTGGACACAGTAATATCCTTTCTCAGAATTTTAATTACGATAGCGATAACATTTTAGAAAACGCTCTAAGCTCTTTGAAGTTTCAAATTTCGTCAATATTACTTGATATTGATATAGAGACTCTATCTTTCGCAAAATCTTTTAAACAAAATGTTAAGGTATTTGAGGGTGCGTTCTCGGATGCTGTTAAACTATCGAAGGGAGGAAGCGAAGGTCCATCAAAAGGTAAAAGGATTCTTCAATCTTATTTCAGCTCATTATTCCCAGTTTTGAACATGAAATTCAGTGTCGAAGATACCAAGGTAGTAATAAGCGATGGTGATGATTCTGTTATTTATTCTTTATCAGTTCTATCCGTTGATTTTAAGTCTGTTAGAACTATAAAACCAGATCCAGAAAATGAAAAATTGTCAGTAATTCATTATCAAACAGAGACATGTCTAGAGCTTTCTAACATGAACTGTATTCATGTCAAGTGCGATGGAAGTGGTTATAAGCATACAATTCTTCACTTGGATTCAGCAGCATTAAAACATGTGTGTGCTGTTACACCAGAATACCAGATAACCTTGGATGGTGATATCCATCATATTGATTTTGATTTATCTGAATTACAAACAATGGTTGCATTAAATAGAATTCAAAAACGTATTGATTACCAAATTTTAAATGTTGAAGAGACCTATTTTAAAGACTTATATGAAGAATTTGCTTCAACTTTGACAAGTACTGAATTACAGTGTTCCGCACTTGGTGATAAGATGGATGCCAAAAAAGAATCACCAGAGAAATATATTTTCAGAGAATTACCTAGTTTTTTTGACTACATTAAAATCGATATTTCTGATATATCAGTTACTTTGGGTGCAAGATCTGTTTTTATGCCACCAAAGAACTTTTCATCAATGGAATCCCAAAGTCCTAAAGATCTTGTTGATGGAAAGATAAGAAAGTTTTCAAATAGAGTTGATAAATTGCAAATAGCATTATTCGGAAATAGTACTCAATGGCGCTCTAAAATAGAAGGCGGAAAAGGTGAGATGGTAAAATCAAGTGATTCCTCAGGCTATAGAAATTTTGAAGCAAGTGATTTGGATGATATATCAACAACAGAATCCACTGAAGTTCAGCATCTATGGAACTTTAACATCCTTGTAAATTCATTTAAATCTGTGGTTATGTACGAGACTTGTCAAATGTGCAACGAGTTTTCACCTAGAACTGTTTCAAAGCTAGACGTGTTATCTCTAAAAGTCTTTCCAGACACTGACGGATTTTCTTCCGATTCCAAGAACAAACTAATAATCCAAATGGATGGGCAAAAGATAAATTCAGCTACAAGTTTAATGAATGTATTTATGACAATTTCAGGAATTCATACAATAAAACAGATATTCGGTAAGGATGACTATTCTTACAAAGAGGAATCATCAGCTAAGAAATTTTTCGTCTACTTAAATAAGTTAAAGAAAAAGAGTTTTTTCCAAACTGTGGATTGGAAACTGTTGAAACCATTGATAGTAGTAAATATATCATTCGAAAGTATCAAGCAAGTAGTGATATTACCAACAGAAGTGAAAATGCGGATTGAATGTTTCAACACTTTTATTAGTGTCACTGAACTAAATCAAATAAGCTTTACAGGTGATCATATTAGAGTATGTGTTGAGTCACCTACCGTAGAAAGCAGTTGGACTAGATTAATACTAATTAACAAGTACGCAATTAATGCTAACATAGCGATGATAAAAGATCAAGTTAACAAAGGATTTGATAGTTTCGATGAACTTGAATCTGCTGTCACATTATCGAATGAATCATGGCATTTTAACATTCCAGATAAGTTCCAAATGTTTAAAATTTTTGATAGTATTACCACAATTGTGAAAGCCATTAAGCAGATGAAGTATTCGTTAAAAACATCCGATAATACGCTTGTGATATTCGCAAAGAAGGTAAACCCAGCAAAAGTTCCTAAAGTGAAAGTTAAATCGAACAGATGTGTTTTTACTCTTGAAGATGATCCTCTGGAATCCGAGTTGAATATGATTTTCCAAATTGGTTTAGAGGAACAAAGGTCTAGATTGGCAAAACTTGAAGAATTTGAGCGTCGCGTAGCTCCGAAGGTTAAACCTGTAAAGAGGAAAGCTTCAAGTATGTCCCATCATTCAAACAACAATGTTCCTCCATCACCTGATTCCAATAGTTCAAACCACACTGATTATTCAGTAACTGATATGGCTACCAAATTATTAGTATTCAACGCAAAATTGGGTTGTTCTCTTTCTAAGAAAATAGTTAAGGGTATTTCAGGAGTTTCACCTTCATCAAAGGTCAGCGGTAATGAACTTGATATGTTAATCGAATCCGAATTTATACCTGAAGAACAATTCAAGGCTTTCCAAAGATTGCAGGAAAACATCTCAACTTCTTGGATTAAGAGAGTTCAACAATATAAGAAAAAGGAGAAAGAGGAGTTCAAAAATAACTTTTCCTACTTATGGGGTAATATTAATTACCTCAACCTTCCAGAGGATATCAATCAGAAGGTAGTAGATTTTATTCAAAGTCCATCTTTGTCTACAATGATTTTTGAAGGAATTGATATTGACATTTTTAAACCAGCTTGTGGTTTAGATGGTATACCCAGTTTTATAAATAGAATTGGTAATGGTGTTCCTATGGATACCGAATATTCTATTATGTTCCCTATGTATGTTGATGCTAAATTCAGTGAAGTTAGATGGCATCTAAGAGATTATCCTCTACCATTTGTTTTTATACCCCCAACTACTGCAAATCAAAAAGACCCCCATTCTTTGAGAATATACGGTAATTTCCTTGTTACCGAAGATATGATGAAGTCAGAACGTGAAGTAAGAACCATTTATGTACCTTTGGTTCCTTCTGTAATTATGGAAAATATGGATACCTATTATTCTTTAACTGTACCTAGAACGGTAACAAGTGTTAAAATGTACACTGATTTGCAACTGGATATAAAATCTAATGAGACTACTAAGGTTACATGGGGTGCGTCTTATTCTCCAGCAATTCAACAGACTATGCAATGTTTGGAAAATTTCTCTAAACCACCAACTGATAGATCACCAAAGCCTGGTTTCTGGGATAAATTAAGTTATATATTCCATGCCAAAATTAACATCAATTGGGTTAATAGTGGTAAATTTGAAATTTCGTTGTTAGGTGCTAAAAATCCTTATTTGATCGGTGGAAAATATGCAGGTTTTGTGGTTGGCTTCAAAGGTGATATCAACCTTACTTGTAATGAAAAGAATGATCCTAGCAAATTTCTTTCTTGTACTGCGGATAAGGTTCATTTCAGTATACCAAATTATTTTGCAAAACCATTATTAGTTTGGTCAAGGCCTACTTCTGAAGCTATATTTGTTCCAAATCAAGACAATACAAACTTACAGAAACTTGCATCATATTATTACTTAATCAATCTGGATTCTACTAAGAGTAATAGTGCAAATGTACAAGAAATGTATAGTTCTTATATTGAGAAGACTGGTATTAAATTGTCTGGTGGGATGACATTATGTTTAGGTTTCGTATTTGAAAGACTGGCGGATGGTTTAAATAGATCACTTGAATTTAAGCCTCATTGGTTAACAAGAACGTGTAATCCTATTTATGTGGATGATTTTGCAACACATGATTCGTATGCCGGTTTCAGAAGTAACTTTATTCATATGTCGCTAACATTACTGTCCAATTCAGACACTGCATACAATGCCTTACAATTGAATCCATCTGCTTTGCAAACATTCTTTAGTTGGTGGCGTACTTTTTCAGGAAACCTACCAGTCAGAAGAGGTAAATTATACACAGCCCAAAATTTAAGTCCTAAATTCGGAGACTGTTTACGTACCATATCTTATCGTGCAGATGTTCAACCGTTGTACGTTACATATATGCAGCGTAATATTAATCCTACTGAGGTTCAAAAACACAGCTATTATGATAATATCGAGTTTGCAGGTATAAAGGCCAAGGTTTCTCATTTCATTATGGATTTACATCAAAGAAAGGAGGTTATATATGAATTTAAAGAAACGTTGAATATAGGGAAGAAGGTATTAAGAATGAAATTTTTAGAGGCTGACATCCATACTGATGAGATAGATATCAGAACGGTTCATGGTGAATTTAAAAAGGCTGCATTTGTTGAAGATATGGAGAATGCAGTATATAATATATTTGATAATGATAAGTCATGGATTGATTTATCCGACTTCAAAGAAGCCTTTTCAATTAGTTGTGACGCATATGTCCCAACAGTTGATATCCAAGCCTTATTATTTTCCGAACAATTTGTTTACAAAAAGAGAGCCAAATATGGTGATAAATATCAAATTGATGCTAAGACTTCTCAACCTATCACACCTTTCCAAAATTGTGTTTCGCACAATTGTAGTCTGGGCCAGAGACTAAAAATTCCTAGAACTTCTATTAATAAGCGTCTACACTCCTTGAAAACATCAGAAAATATATTAAAAGAAAAGATTGATCATTCTGATAACACTAAGATCATAAAGCATGATACTCTATTGCTAAAAACCACAAAGAATGCAGTTAAAAAGGTGGAGGAATTAGTCCAAGATTTGGATACCCTATTCTACAGTCAAGATGATCCAACGAAAGGAAATTATCATTTCAACATTGTTGATCAAACTGCCGCCCAACATATGCAAAGTTTTGAGAATCAATATTGGGCTGTAAATATGTTGCTAAAGTGGAATGAGAGCAATAGAGATACATTATTGAAGTTTGCAATGTTCATGAGCATTAATAACCACTTTTCTAATCTTCCTTTACATAAATCGTTGAGAGTATTTGATGATATAGTCAGACAGAAGTTATCTCTAGAAAAAACTCATTCTAAAGGACGTACAGGTAATGGTATTAATGACAATCCTCAGAATATTAATTTAAACGTTACAGAAGATGAATCGCTAGAAGATTTGTTTGAAAAAGGTTTGAAGGAATTATTTGTCGGAATACAATATAATGTTAATGAGGATCACTTCGTTCAATTTATGTCACCTCAAATTCAACTGATGACAGAACAAGATCCAGATTCATGTGTTATTATTACTGCACCATCTACAAGATTAAGAGTATTGTCATTTGATGGCACCGAAAGTTCTAATACTATTAATAATGATAAGTTCCTAAAGAGATTTGGTATATTTGTTCCGGATGCTAATTTGTTTGTATTCCATAAAGACGATTACAAAGATTATTTCGAACTGTTCTTTGATGTAAATTCATATGGCCAAACAAAATCTGGTATATGGCCTCCATGGTTGGGTCTAGAATTATGCTTAGACCCTACTCCGTTGGCAGCAGAAGCCTTAGTGAAGAATTTATCAACCGTGTTCTATTATGATAATGTTTATCAATTCTCTAGTTCATATGAAGCTATTAAGGATGATTTACAGAGTAGGATGATGTGTTACTTACCTGATATAATTGTTTCATCAACTTCCAGAAATTATCTTTCATTATACAAGGTAGCCACAAATCTATTGATGCACATCGAATTATCAAATGTAGATTTGAAGAACAGGGCAGAGAAGTTTGCAATCAGTTACGATTTTGATGATTTAACTAGATTATACCAATCTGCTGAAAAATTATCCAGTCAAGTGCGTATATTAAATATTGTTGAAAATGAATTGTTGTTCAGAGAAAAATTATTAGATGATGCAGGTCAAGTTGATTTATTCAACGTCCACAACGAAAAGATCAATACGTTATCTAAGCTGTACGTTTTAATGAGTGTATTGTGTTCCAAGCGTAAAGAGAAGGAGGGTGCGTCAAAGATGATGGTTTGGAATATCAAGATCAATAAAGTTATCCTACATATGTTGAACAACGATATGTCACCATTTTTGGATGTTATATCTACTGATATCAAATTTAAGAGAATTGCATCTACTTCTGGGTTTAACAGAAATTCTGTTACAATTAAATCGTCTGAGATCATACATTTGGAGAAGAATGCAGTATACGAAAACTTATTATCACCTTATGTTTCTAAGAAGGATCTAAGAAACAGTAGACATGATTCGGACCAACCTTTCTTAGCCATCGAATGGGTTATGGATAAACCCGTTGGTGGTATTAAGGTTTTGAAAGACGTTGAGACACATGTTAGTGGAGTTCAATTAAGCATTGAAGAGACTACATTAATGAAGTTAATCCATTGGTTATTACCAAATGAGATTGCGTCTATGTTGAAGAGTGACGATAAGGGTGGTGAAAATGATAGTCTGCTAGATATGGAATCATTAGATAGTGAAATACGTGTTACTGGATCTGAAGCCGAATTAAACGAAATGCTTCAAAGATCAACAGATTTTGTTATCATGGAGAACGTTACCTTGAACGGATTCAAGTTATGTATCAGTTTCAAGGGTAAGGGTGCCAAGAGGTTAATTAACGTGTCTGATTTCTTATTCAACTTCCCAACGTTGCGTTTCGATAACCAAACAATGAGAGTAATTGATTTACTGCTCGTTTTGAAGAAGATCTTAGTCAAGGCATTATTACGCCAAAGTGGTAGATTCTTGGTTTCTAAATTGAAAACCAGGAATCCAGCTTCTGACCACAGGAAGACTATGATGATTGAAGCTACCAGTCCAGCGGCAAAGTTAGAAGGCGAGGCTGCCAAGAGACAAGTTATAAGTGCAAGAGAAGAATTAATTCAAGCTAGATTCACAGAGGAAAATTTACTTCCATCTCACTGAGAAGATAGATGATTGATTCAATATCTTGCAAAACCGAGTTATATGTTTTAATAAATTTTATTTCAATTCAAACCAAACTAATTTTATTTTAACACTCTGACTAATGATATTTTGAGTGTTTTTTTTTACATGTACATTTATATACCCCTTTCTACAAAGACAAAAAAAATACTATACGTTTTTATTAATCTATGTAGATTTGTTTATTTTTACTTTTAATCAAATATTTTGTTCTATTAATTTCTATTCGTCCGCCCAAACAGACATTGAATATCTATCTGCATTAGCGTCAGCTAGCTGTAGATAAAAATAGAAACCGATGGGCGGCTGTGCATTAATTAAGTTTGCATACTGCATGTATATCAATTTCTGTTTTGCTTCTCAAACCGTCTGTAGGATGGAAAGCATAAATCTTATCCTTTTACCTAATCCGGTAGTTCTTTTTCGAAACCAAGTAATATTAATCGCTCTAGTTACTTAAAATAGAAACAAATTCCTGTTACCCTTTTTATTTCCTCACCCGGACACAACCACCCGCAACAAGAGGAGCATCGGGAATTTTTTTCAAAGCCTTCATCATTATTAACGAGACAAGGTGCAGGGAAATTTCTGAAAATCGAAGGAAGCTGCCCACCACCACCACCACCACACACAAGGAAAATATCGAAAATTAGTTCGAACATAATTTTGGATCGATAAAAATAAAATGATTCAAGATCAAATAAATGAAACTTTAAATTTGATTAAAGGGTTATTTTAAAGTATTTTATTTGGGAAATATATATTTATCGTATCAATTAGGTTCTATAGAATAAGAATACCAAAGATATACAAGACCTTTTCAGGAAACAAGTAAAGGAAAGACCTTCATATTGAGAAGAAGTAAAGGAAACTTGAAATTATAACTAGAAAGAAATTTTTTTTTTTTGGTTTGATTTGTGTTTGATTTATTTTTAAGTGATTATTTAGCTTTCTATCTGTGATATTATTGCTATCCTATAGTATATTTTAGCTTTGATTTTTGAATCTAGTGTGAATTTTACTTATCTAAAGATTATATGCTTTAGAAACAAGAAATAATTTTCGAAATCAATTGTCGTTAGATTCTTTTTTTGTTTGTTACAATAAAACAATTGCATTTAAATTATTATATATTTGATACTATATCATTTTATTATTATTTTTTTACAAGGACAGAAAATTCGAAATCTAATTATTAAAGAGTAAAATGTCTCAACAAGTTGGCAATAGCAGTATTAGAAAGAAATTGGTTATCGTTGGTGATGGTGCCTGTGGTAAAACCTGTTTATTAATCGTTTTCTCAAAGGGTCAATTCCCTGAAGTCTACGTTCCAACTGTTTTTGAAAATTATGTAGCAGATGTTGAAGTTGATGGCCGTCGTATTGAATTGGCATTATGGGATACTGCAGGTCAAGAAGATTACGATAGATTAAGACCACTTTCATATCCTGATTCAAACGTAGTATTGATCTGTTTCTCTATCGATTTACCAGATTCTTTAGAAAATGTTCAAGAAAAATGGATCGCTGAAGTTCTACATTTCTGTCAAGGTGTACCAATTATTTTAGTTGGTTGTAAAGTAGATTTAAGAAATGATCCTCAGACCATTAACATCCTAAGAGAAGCAGGTCAACAACCTGTTGCTACTACAGAAGGTCAAGCCGTTGCTGATCAAATAGGTGCCACTGGTTACTTTGAGTGTTCTGCAAAGACTGGTTTTGGTGTTAGAGAAGTATTCGAAGCTGCCACTAGAGCTGCATTGATGGGTAAATCAAAGACTAATGGTAAAGCAAAGAAAAATACTTCAGAAAAGAAAAAGAGGAAGTGTGTCGTCTTATAAGAAACTGTTACAAAATACTAAATTGCCTGTAAGATACTACTGCAATTTTCTTTGTTAACTCTTCTTTTCTTCCACTATTATTAATACTTATATCATTGTTTCCTTATTTCCTCATTTATGCGAACCTCTGAACAACACGGCCTTTATTATGTTTTATCCCCCCCCCTTTATTAGTTTATTTTATTTTTGTTTTGTTTTCAAGCTTAAAGTTTTTTACCTCCCATTTATCTGTTAAATTATTATTATTCTTTTCAAAGTTACCCAAGGACAATTTTTGAAATATCAAAACAAGAAGATACAAACAACAACAAACAAATAAAAAACCGGCGAAGATTATATTTCTTTTATGATTAAGCAGATAACTAATATTCAATAATCCAATTAATCAATAATATTAAAATCTTTTCTTATCCTACTATCCAAACTAAGTTAAACAAATTTTTCAAAATATATCCAATCATTTAAAAATTAACAGTTTTTTGTATAAATTATTACCTGTACAACATATAATAATAATTATAATTATATATTAAATAGATTACGAACCAACCCAAACATTCATTTCTTTAGATTCAATTATCTTCTTATTTCATCTATAGGAAGGACATATCTTGACTATTATTATACTACTCTATAGTATTATTTTTTATTGTGTCAGTGTCATCTAACCGAATGCTATATAAAGGTCTTTGTAAATATGAATCAAAAGTATGATAATCGATGTAAGTATACAATGGATATATCAGTGATAAGAACTCCAATTATTACTGTCTTGAATCTTTTCAAGAGATTAATTCGAAATAACCAAATTTTTTGCTACTAATGAATAATAATAACATATTTAGACCATCATCTACGCCAAGTGACGCTGTGATAAATGATACTAGGCGTATTAGAAGGAAACTAGTAATTGTAGGAGATGGTGCTTGTGGTAAGACTTGTTTGTTGATAGTTTATTCAAAGGGTACATTTCCAACTGTCTATGTCCCGACAGTGTTTAATAATGATGTCACGACGGTTGAAGTTGATGGTAAAACTGTTGATTTAGCTTTATGGGATACTGCAGGTCAAGAAGATTACGATAGATTAAGACCACTATCATATCCAGATTCAAATGTTGTATTGATATGTTTCGCTATTGATTTACCAGATTCTCTAGAAAATGTTAAAGAAAAATGGGTTTCAGAGGTTTACCATTTTTGTAGAGGTGTCCCAATAATTTTAGTTGGATGTAAAATGGATTTACGAACTGACACTGATGTCATTCAAGGTCTATCTAAGATTGGAAAAGAACCAGTTACCACGGAGGAGGGTCAAACTGTAGCGACTCAAATTGGTGCATTTAAATACATCGAATGTTCCGCGAAAACAGGATATGGGGTTAGAGAGCTATTTGAAGTTGCAACAAGAGCTTCCTTATTATCACAAGAAATCAAAATGAATCAGAAAAAAAATGGTAAATCAAAAAGAAAATGCTCGATTCTTTAGATCTAACCGTCTCCATTTCCTCTTCTACTTTTTTTATATTCAAAAATTAATATTAACCTCCATCAGACAATTTGTATAACATATATATGAGATCACCTAAAAAATAATCTTCACCTTCTTGTAGAGAATACATCATGAATTTATTATATTAAAGTTTTCAATATTTACAAGTTATTTTTATATATATCATAATATATATATATACATATACTTTATATTAAATGAATTTGAAAAAATGAAAGTGCTTATACTCTTCTCCCTTTCTCCATAATTTTTCCAATTATCACAGCAATCAAACTACCAGATACCTTTTTTAACACCTGGTAACTCACCAGCCAATGACTTCTCCCTAAATTGAGTTCTACACAATCTAAAATCAGTTATCACAGATCTAGCACTACCTGAGGCAATACATCTGTTTTTCACTTGAGTCATTCTGGTATAATTTGGCATAACACTCAATTGTAACTGGGCCTCTAACCTAGCCTTTGGAGGTAATGCTGTATTTCTAGATATATATTTTAGGGCCTTTACAGTAATTTCATTTTCTGCAACTTGTTGTCTTTTAAAATTATCTCTAATTATTCTAGCATTCAAAAATCCTGGTGGAAGCTTGGTTTTAATTGGAAATCTAAAATTACCCATTTTCGAATGAATATGATGAAAACAATATACAGAGAATCAACCTAAAGCCCCTCACAGTCTTACAGAGTCAACTTAAAATAAGTTTCATTCAATGATTGTTGAACGTTTATATTATACTATTCTGTTTAAGTTCTTTTTAAAGGCTTTTCAAATTTTCATATTGGGATGTTGAAAATACTCAATCCATCACGTGATGGATAATGATATATATAGATCTTTTCCTAATAATGAATGGGGTATAATCTTGAAGTGCTTTGAATTGTATCCCCAACATATAATACATTTAAATGGATTAAACGTCAAATACAATATTATTCCAGATTTTCATTCTTTTCACTTCATCTTATTTTAATGTGCCAGGAAAGCTAGACTTCGCAAATAACTGTCACACCATAAAGAAATGTATTAAATGAATGATTTTATCTACTTATCAAACAATTGATTAGAAACTGTATATACTATTATATAAATTGATGAGAGTTCGTATGCCATTGGGATTAATTTGAAAAACAAAGCTTCCTTTCTAACCTTTTTTTTTTGGGTATTCAAGTGATGTGGTGATATATTTCCACAGCGTTAAAAGTGAAAAATTATTTGAGATGAGGTGAAAAATATTGAAATCGATGAGATGAGATGAGATGAGATGAGATGAGTTAAACTTAGGTTTGCTAGTTTCTCTTATAAAAGCATATGGTTATCGTTTGGTTGGATTTCTAAGATTATCAGTTGCTTTGCTTGTGTTAAGTTAGTAAGTGAGTGAGTGTATTTAGTTGGATCACCTTTGCTATATACATATATTATAGAATCAAGAACATGGGTAAAAAAAATAAGTCCAAGATTAATCCTATTGAGGAATTGAAATCAGATTGTTTACCTATTCTAGAGTTACAATACTCTGATCCATTATTTCAAATTGCTAGTCATCCGGAGCAAGCAATTATTATCAGTGGTTTAGCAACCGGTTATGTTTATTGTCATCGTTATAATGTTACAGTATTGGAGAACTATTTGCAACAACAAAAGAAGAAGTTTGTAAGTGATGCAGATGGAAAGAAGAGTAAAAAGGTAAAATTCTGGACAGTTTATGATATCATCAATGAAAATAAGGACAATGCTGATACGGGAAGTGATTCTGGTGTTGAATTGATTTGGAAAACAAAGAGACATAAAGGTAGTGTAAGGTGCATTGCTTTAGATTCAGATGGCCAATTCGTTTACACCGTTGGTACTGATAATGTACTTAAGAAAGCTGACGTTTTGACTGGTAAAGTTGTTAAAAAGACTAATTTAAAAAATGACAACGGTGGGAAATATACTAAAATGGTCAAATCTCCTACCCATTCACTATTAATATTAGGTGATGAAAATGGTACTGTTATTGTATTGAATAGTGAAACTTTACAAGAGACAAATAGATTGACAAAAGTTCATAACGGAGATGATGCAATTAATGATATATTTCATTTTGCCAAGAGATCTATATACAGATATATTTCCCTTGGTCAAACAACATTGGCATATTGGGATGCTAGAGAATCTAATGAATCTGACTTCAAGTTAGATCCAGAAGATACAACTAGTAAGAGAAAAGTAATGTTGAGTGATGATCAAGAGGATGAAGTCTTATGTGGTACATTTGTTGACCCAGAAGTAGGTGATAATCTTGTCTGTGGTATGGGTGATGGTATATTGACTGTATGGAAGCCCGAAAGGAATGACTTAGAAGATCAATTGAACAGAATTAAAATTGCTAAAGAAGAAAGCATCGATTGTATAGTCCCAACTTTACAAGATGACAACTGTATCTGGTGTGGTTGTTCGAATGGTAATATATATAAAGCTGATATCAAGAAGGGGAAAGTTGTTGAAGTTCGAAACCACAGTTCATTAGATGAAGTTTCTTTCTTAGACTTGGATTACGACTATAGGGTTATATCTGGTGGCATGGATAAAGTTAAAATATGGCAATCAAGAAATGAAGTGTCGGAAGAAGAAGATGATGAAGAAAGTGAAAGCTTTAGTGATAGTGATAGTGATAGTGATAGTGATAGTGATAGTGATAGTGATAGTGATAGAGATAGAGATAGAGATAGTGATAGTGACGGAGATAGTGACGGAGATGATATCGGTAATGGCAGTGATGTCAATGACTCTGGTGCTAGTGGATCTGAAAATGATTCAAGTGATGTGTGGGAAGGACTTGAAAATGGATCAGATGATGAACCTGTTCAAGAAAAGGATGAAACTTCAGGGAGTGACATGGATGATATAGATGAAGGTAGCGACTCCTCTGAAGGTGAACTAATTGGATTGTCTAGAGAAGAACTAATTGCCGAATTGGACGAAGATATAATGGAAGAAAGTGAACAGGAAGGAGAAAAACTACAGAAGAAAAGAAAGAATGAACCAAGCAAAAAGAATACAAAGAATCTGAAGAAGGTAAAGCCATCATATAATGACTCACACGGTATTAGAAAATTTGAAGGTTTATAGATGTCATCATTTATTATGGATTATAATATTTCTATAATACTATGCTGTTCAAGTGTATCTTATGTATTTTAAAATTATAACATTTTGGTAACTAATACCGAAAAGATGAAATATAAACTAGTTATTGAATCTATGCATTACAAGTGTGAGCATGTTACGATTCTCTTTCAATTCAATTCACTTGGTACTATATGGTAAAAAATAAAAAAGAATGGTCCCTAGCGGGATCGAACCGCTGATCTTGGCGTTATTAGCACCACGCCTTAACCAACTGGGCCAAGGGACCATTTTAATTATTGTGAATTTGAAAAATGAGAGATCACCATAATGTACAAAACTCGAAGAGAAATTTTAAGACATAATTACAATGCTTATAAGAGTAGAGCCAATTCAGTTGTACCTTTTATCGAAATTACAGGTCAGTTTGATCATATAGTCAATTTTCTAACCTGGTCAAATCCAATCAATAAGTTTCTAACGGATTTATTTTCTAAACTGTGTGTTATTTTAATAAGGGAGAATTGTTCTTGGATAACAGAGCAAATATATTTTTGAATCATACATAAGTCATCGGTATATAAATTTTGGAAATTCAACCATAAGACTATCCAATTAGTTCAAGAATGCTATCTTAAAGATAAAATATTGCAATAGTGAAAATACCTGGTAAATATAGATATGGAATGTTTTCGTACCTCCAACTAATTCTCCTAGTGTGGTTTTGAAAATTTGTCAATTCTAGATCCAGCTTAAAATGCTATTAATCTGGCCACTGTCTCAATTAGATGGCAACAGAGATTTGGTAACTGCAAAAAGAAACATAACAAGCGATATTACAGTTATTGTCAACAGATATTTTTATTCTAAATAATTTAACCTGATGCATCCCAAATTAGCTTTCCAAAACAGAAGACATCAAAACTATCCTAGAGATATTAACAAATATAAAGAAGGATCAGTATATGACTAGTTATAATAAACCTTGATTCAGTACATTCTCCTTCTCTTCCCCAATCAATCCTTTAGTCCACACTAACAAAAAAAACGTAAGAACTAATTTCTACGAATACATTGATTTAGAACCCATCAATTGAAGTCTCTACTGTTCCTGATCTACTAAAAAACTTTTGTTAACTCATGCATTTTGCTATTATCTCTTCCATATCCATCACTAAATTTTTCAGCTCTATAATGCGAAACATGTAAAAATTAGGTAACTTTTAAATATAGTTGCAAAACTAATTTACATAACTTAACATAATGCTTATATATTGGTTATATTATGTTATATTGGCTTCTATAGGTCGATTGCTGTTCTCAAAGCATTCTTATTGGGTATTAAAAAGTCAAGAGAGTTGTTATCTATTATTAGGATGAGACCTGTTGTATCGGTATGGTTTTTTTTCTCATTATATTGTATTATAATATACAACATTTTAAAGAAGTTCTAGGGATTCAAGCAACTTTGAACAATGAAATAAATTATAATTTTAAAGCAAGATTTTAATTACTAACATGTTGATATGTGATTATTAGACTGGTAAAGCTTGGTTTTGTACAATTTTATCCGCATTCGGTGTTGTGATACTGTCTGTAGTGGCACATTTGTTTAATACCAATCATGAAGAATTTGTTGGATCTATAAATGATCCTGAAGATGGACCTGCGTATGTTAAACAAACTGATATATTCTAAATCCAAAGTATTAGAATATTATATTGTTTTGAAGTGTATTGTAAATTTTCATTTCCCAAATACTAACAATTTTTTTATTGTAAAATAATTATTATTTTGTAGGGTTGCTCATACTGTTTATATAGCAGCATTGGTTTATTTGGCATTCTTTGTCTTTTGTGGGTTCCAGGTATATTTGGCAAGAAGAAAACCTTCCATTGAATTGCGTTAATACCAATAGACTTTTATTTAAGCGAATATTAAGTTTAGACAAATTGAGGTTGTCTAATTTACATAGATCTTTTGTATAATATAAAATATAATTTGCTGTTCTGTAAGTGAAAAATAAAACATTAAAGTAGTACAAATTAAGTTACAGTCCTTCAATACTGAGTAATTTAATCAATTTTTTCAACCATGATTCATTTCTATCTTTGTTGCATGAAATTTCCAAACAATAGGGGCAAACTGGCACTGTATTGAACGTCAGCATAGACTAATTCAAGAATCTGGATATGTAAAACTGAAGTTGATAGAGTGTCCTTCAACAAATACATGATCATTACTGTGAACCAAAAGATACATAGCACAAGATGACGAGATCTAGAAACTTCTCATTCTACAAAACTTTTTACAGAATAATATCTCAATTAAAACGGTACACATAATATAAGAGTAGTTTCAATAATTGCAACTTCAAGTTGACCCATAAATAGTTACCTCATCAGTAGATAGTACTTATTGAGTCCCAAAATGCAATCAAAAAAATGCTCCCTTACTTTTAGAAGCTGACTGGGTATGGTTAGTCAATGTAGTGCATAGACAAATAACCAAACTCTGATATAATGTAGTTGCAAGCTAGTAATTGGATTAATCTACCAGTTTCAAAACTCATAACTCATGTGTGTATTTATATATATACATAGATGTGACTTGTATTTAAATATAATCTTGAGCCTTCAATGAATGGATCACATGTATTTCAGGTGATTCATTAAATTTTGATGGGAAAAATATGGTAACTTTGAACGAACGATATCGAATTAAAGTGACAGATTATTAAAGAGAAGTTAAAACTACACCGATACTCAACTATGAAGATATCAGACTTTACTAGCAAGTCTATATGTTTAGTAGTCATCAATCAGATCAATTGTGAATAGATTGCCATGCCTAGACTATATAGGGACGATAGTGATGACGATTTCATGGACAGGGTCAAGCAGTTAGATGATGAAAGAAATCAATCCAATGGTGGTCCTAGGAGAAATAATCCATCCGGAGATAGATCGTTGCCTCCTCAGGATGATAAAGAGAGTTTACAAGTAGCCAGAAAGATCTTGGATGGTTCCTATGTTGAATCTGATGAGTACAGGGCTGTTATTGATAGATCTGTTGATCAATTGTCAAAAAATGATACATCTTATGAGTCTGCTTATACATATGAACAATCAAGAAATTCTAAACATAGGGATAGTCGTTTAAGAAATGAGGGAATCAAGAAAGATAATTCCGAAAGTTCTAAGAAATTCGTTGTTTCTGAAGAAGACTATGAACTTTTGCAAAAGTTAAAAGCTGGCAAAGATATCGAGGAATCAACAAGGGAAAAATTACCCACAAGAGGTAAACCAAGAGGATCAAGAAGGCTGGATGATCAGAAATCTTATCCAAATTCTAATTCATATCCTAATTCGCATCCCCATTCTCATCCCCGTTCTCATCCCAATTCTCATTCACAACCTCATTCACATTCTGATTCACACCCCCGTCGATTGCCAAGAAAAGATTTATCGGATGATGAAGAATTACCACCTGCATTACCAGCCAGAAAGAATACCAAAGATGACAGCGAAAGTGAAGATGAGCGACCACCACCATTACCAGCAAAACCAAAACATCAACAACAGGAACCGAAAATCAGTGCAAGAGCTAATAATATGAGAACTAGAGAATCAAATGTCGATAAGTCTTTAAAAGTCGAAAGTGGATCGAGACCTAGAGTCGAGTTTAAAACCGAAAGAAATTTGAATACTGAAAGGGAACTGCAAGTTGAAAGGGAGGTCAAAGCTGATAAAAAGGAGGAAAAACCAGCACCACCACCGGTAGCCAGAAGGAAGCAACAGCAAAATGTCGAAACTAAAGATACTGTATTAGAAAATAACAATACTAAACCTTTAAACCAAAGACTTGCGAAACCTTCTGCTCCTGCTCCTGCTCCTATTCATCGCAATTCTGACAAACCAGTAGATTTCATCAACTCGTTAGAAAAGAACAAGTTGACAGTTTCAGAAGCACAAAGTTCCAATTCATCTTCTAAAATACGAACACAACATATTGACTATATAGATTCCATGGAAAAAAGAAGGTCAGATTCCGCTACCTCACTGGACAAAAAGGATAAACCACCAATTGGTAAAAAACCTTCTATTGATTTTTCCAAGAAGCCAAAGTCAAATGGCTTCATTGGTTCAGCATTAAATTCTAACACCAAAGAAGTTCCCCCAAAGACAATAAATAAACCTATAATCCTTCCTAAACCCAAAACGTTAAAATCGCTACAAGTTAGTGATAATTCTAAAGATAGTATTACTGAGGATGACGAGGACATACCTCTTGAAGAAAAATTGAAAAAGATCGAAAGGAAAAAGCCTGTGGTTCCTTTGAAGAAGCCGGACTTAGAAATTCCAAAATTGAAACCTGTCGAGAAGACAAAACCATCTGTACCTCAGAAGAAAGCCAACCTTGATATGCCATCTTTGAAACATGTTGAAGCAAAGCCAAAGCCTGCAATTCCTCCTAAAAAATCTAACATCCATACTTCTTCTTTAAAACACGTTGAAGAGAAAACCAAACCTACAAAGGAAGATAACCCTTTAGACGCTGTTAAATTAAAAAAAGCTTCAATTTCAGATTCAAGCGCCAGAAAGGCATCTATTCCTGAAGCAATTCAAAAATATTCATCTTTGAACAAAGCTAAGACACCTCCTGCTGTTGCACAGAGGAAGATTTCAATGCCTGAAGCACTTGTAAAGGCTCAAAAACTTAAGTCTGTGGATGACAGATCTGATCTTGAGGAACCTGCAAGACCTCAAAGTCATAGAGATGAATTAGAAAATCTATTTTCTGGCAAAATTTCTAGGTTGAACTCAAGAGGGACTTCATCATCTTTTGATTCAATCAACAGTTCAGGGCCTATCCGGAATTTAAGCAGACAAGGAACAGATATATCTATATCATCTAATGTATCTGAATATAATAGTGATGCAAGCACTGCCAGTTCATTATCACATCCTCATAAAAGCAGGTCTCGTGGGCCAAAAAGAAGATTACCTACAAATATGTCATAATGGAGTGAATCATGTCACTGATGTGAATAAACAAGAATGAAACTAGGCTTAATACGGAAGGAGAGGCCTGTGTTTGTACTTTTACCCTCTGTCGCAAATGGGTTTTAAGATTAGTTGACAATTTCAATTGAAGCACATCATGTTTAGGTATATATTTGTATATATTACTTTCAAAAATTAACGATCATAATGGAAAAGGTTTTATAGACCTCTTAATAAGAATGGACGAAGTTCAGTAAGTAACTAAAAAGCTAACATAATCTTTGATACTCTTCTTGTTGGACACATTCAAGAGCAGGGGTTACTCTGTTTTTGTAAGTTTGATATAGTGTTGGTGATTATTGGTTGAGATATTTTGACTGAATCATAAACAGATGGATAGAATAAAAATATTCCAATCATAAGGTATTGATTGCATTGAAGTCGCCATTGTTAATGTTCTTCCTAAAAACATTATGGTCTTTGATGGGTAGTACTGCACTAAAAGATGTAAATTAGTAATATCTTTATGTATACACCCATTCACCACATAACAAACACCCTATAATATGGGTTGGATTATACTATTATACTATTCACCCATAATAAGTTCGGCTACCACATATTTTACTAAGCATTATTAATAATTGATTAAGTATATATATATAACGATAAAGAATTGAATTTAGATTAGTTTAATTTATGGACTAGGAATTGGTATTTAGGATTAAGATCACAGATATAGGTAAGCAAGGAACATATATCATTAATAGAAATAGAAATTACAAGATGTCTTGCACTCAGAAATTTCCCAACCATTTGATTAATTTAATCAAGACTTCAAAATATGTGCATTTAGCAACATGTTCAAAGGATTGTGTACCATCGGTATCTTTGATGAATTACACATATGTTCCAGCCGACAAGAGTTATAATCATAAAGAAGGTCAAACCGATGATTACATTATATTTGCTACCTGTGCTAATACTGAAAAATATGAAAACATCTTGGCTAATCCAGCCGTTTCGTTGTTATTTCATGATTGGATTACTGCTAATAATTTATCAGTAAGGAAAAATAGTTTATCACAATCTGCTACTCCAGATCCAACCACTTTACCAACTTCGACTAAGGGTTCTCATCCAAGTAAATTACTAAACTTGTTACAAGAGTTGAACCAAGCTGAATTAAATGAAATGAGTGCAACTTTAAAGGGTAGAGCTGAATTAATTGCTCCATCCACCGAAGAATCTGCTTATTACAAGAAACTATTATTGAGAACCAATCCAGATGCCGATGTGTTTATCTTAGGTGACAATACTTATGTCGTAAAAGTGAAAATCGTTAGTGCTAAGGTTACTGACAGTGAAAATAATACTACAATTTACAATTAAATCCTTTAATAGATCTTATAATATACATTTATATATTTCAATATATTTCAATATAAACAAGGGTGATGAAATCTTCCTTAATTTTTGTAATTAATATCGAAAAGAATTTCAATTTATACATTTATATCGATATGCATAGGTTTTAAAACATTAATTACCTTCCTGTCCGAAGTCATTTGTAAAATCTTCTTGCTTTTGTAAGTCTTCTTCGTTAACTGTTGGCCTTGTGGATTTAATAGCCTTCAAAAAATCTTTAATCGTCAAATCTGGCTCTTGAAGTTCATCTGCCTCTATATCAGTCCAACTCATTTCAACAGCACCTTTATCGCCAGGAGAACAAGGTGTCAACCTTCTTTTTGTTTCATCTTCTGAAATATCTTTAAAATGAGTGCTATTTTGTATCTTCCTTATCGGCTGCATTAAAGCATCTTTGACAGCAACTGCGATATCACTACCAGAATAACCATCTGTCATTTGACCTAATGTTCTATAATCCTCTTTTGTTAGAGTACAAGGTGTATCTGCAACGTTTATTTCAAACATTTTAGTTCTGGCCGCTAAATCAGGCAATGGGATATAAATCCTCCTTTCAAATCTTCTTCTTATTGCACTATCCAATTGCCATGGGATATTTGTTGCACCGAGAACCAACACACCTTGAGAATCATTGCCCACACCATTCATTTGGACTAATAACTCTGTTTTAATTCTTCTACTAGCTTCACTTTCACCTTCACCTCTTTGCCCTGTCAATGCATCTACTTCATCTATAAATATGATTGAAGGTTTATTTTCACGAGCCATGTTAAACAGTTGCTTTACCAATCTTTCAGATTCACCCATCCATTTTGAAACCAAATCACTAGAACTAATACTAAAGAAAGTAGAGTTCGCTTCAGTAGCTACTGCTTTAGCCAGATAAGATTTACCAGTACCTGGAGGTCCATAAAGCAGAATACCAGATGTTGGTTTTCTATTACCAGTAAATAGGTGAGGAAATTTTACAGGTAAAATTACCGCTTCTTTCAAAGCAGCTTTAGCACCTTCTAACCCTGCAATGTCTTCCCACTTGACATTTGGCTTTTCTGTCAATATCGCTCCTGATAAGGCACCTTTCAATTTCTTATCTTCAGAATCATCTTCATTATTATTTTTCGAAACCTTTTGTGCTCCAGAATTCGTATTATTATGAGCATTTCTTTTAGCTTCATCTTCTTTCTCCAAATGCTCTTTTAATTGTTCTGCTCTATTCAAATACTCGGTGAACTTTGCCCTGATAAGATCCTTTGACTTTGGATTTTTCTCATATTTCAATGCTAACATTAAATAATCTAGCCCATTATAATAAGCAGTATACGCTTCGGAGTATTGCGTGGCAGTGTCGAAATCTACTGCCTTCTGGATCAGATCAATGCCTTTGCTTAAAAAATCACCAGTACTCATTCGATATTAAATACACAATACGATACAATCCAATAACAATCAATTATTTCAAACCAAGAACCTTTATTTCCTCTCTAATCAAACAACCCCTACCTACTGGTTCTAACAATATCTAATTAAATAAATATAATAAAATCAAAAAAAACCCAACAAAGTTCAAACTAAACTATCCTGTTTTATGACGTTGTAACTGCAAACCTACACAATCTACGTACCAGATTCCATATAAACCAATCATTAAACCATTAAAATTCGATCTCATATCTTGTTACATCTGTTTTAAACCTTGTCTCTTCTTAAATCGACCGTTTCATGGCTTTTTCATTTTACCATAATAAAAATCACACGTTGATAGCGACAGCGTAAAATGATTGTGATCGAGACATAGAAAGACAGATCAACTGACAGAAATGAAGACATATCTGTTAGGAATTCAAATTGGAGTCTATTGATATAGCAAACTTGGGAGATAGTTTACTATAAGACTCCAATTAGAAGCTAAACGTGTCATAAATAGAAAAAAAGAGAGAAAAATTGATAATTTTTCAATGACCGTACATCTCTAATATTTGAGGTTCCTTTTAGTTTCAGTTTAAGTGAGATGAAACCTACTTTATGAAAGGATATACCATATACATGCTGCATCACTTAGGTCCATTCCCCTTTTCTTTGCCCTGTTCTTTACTATTCTTTTTTCTCCTGTCAGGTGAAATCTAACTTATTCGTTCATCATAGATTAATATATCAAAAGAAATAAAAGTACAATAGAAACACCAGTTTAACGTGGCGACGAGTATTTCGAATAGTCAATTCTAATAGGTGACAATGACTTTTCTTTGCCATGTTGTGTCAATGTTTCCGTCTCTGGAATCTTAGGATATTTGCTATAAAACTCATCAGGACCTATATCGCCAGTATTCATGTCATCATCCTCATTTGCCTCTATGGTAGGTTTACGCATCGGACTTGATGTGAATAATGGATTGACTGTTCTTTTTGGCGATGGTGGGAGATCTGTTTCTGGTATCAAGTTTTCCTTTTGTAAATTTTTTATATCTCTTCTTGATTTCACATATTCACTATCTATATTTGCATCATCCAACAATGATTGTAATAACAAATTTTTTTCTTTAGCAAATTTCAATTTTTTCTTACTTATTTGTAACTCCTTTGTTAAAGACGTTATTTTTTCCTCCATATCATCTATCTTCTTTTGTAAAAGCGTTACTTGATCATTAGTAATATTCAAATTACTACTTGATACGTACCCAGGAGTGTCAACAGTTTTACTACGCCCTCTTTTCAATTGTTCTAATAGTACATCATCATGTCTTTTTTCCATCAGTTTTTTTCTAAACACTTCACTTCTAATGATCCTATCCTGTATCAACATTCTCTCTTCTCTCTCAGATAAAGCAGGGCTTACAGGTACCAACACATTCAAATTTTCAGAAGCCCTTTGCATCATATTCAATTCCTGGGTATCATTGGAGAATACAGATTTTATAGAATTTACCAAAGTTCTTAGTCGTCCATTGTTTCTTGGTGGTACACCAGTAACAAATTCCGGAGAAACTTCCCTGTATTGTCTTCTTCTTGTCCCACCATTATAATTGTTAGCAGCAGAACTAGCAGAAGCACTATCGCTATTTCTTGGTTTATGAACACCTCCTTCCAAGCTCCGATGTTGAACTCTGGAACCACGAGACCTGCTATAGATCTCATCTGCAACACCAGGATCACCTCGTTTCATTCTCAACATCCTATTACGCTCCTTAGCTGCAACAGCTCTTCTTCTCTTCCTCCTGTCTCGTAATTCACTCAATTCACCATAATCTCTTTTCCTACCATCATCTTCATCATAATCCTGATTCCCTTTACCAAAGAAATCATCAACGAATCCTTTCAACGAATCCAACATATTAACTCAAAAACTACTAATCCAAAAAACAATCAATAAATCAAAAAATCAAAAAATCAACTAAACTAAAATTTCACCACACTAGTTATCTAATACAATTCCAAGTTGATAAAGACAATAACAATTCCAAATATCTGTCCCTCTCTTGTATATTAGAAATACCCAAAAATAAACCAAAACTAAAAATAAGATTGTTAAGCTTCTTTACACACAAACAAAACTGATCAAAAGTGAAAAAATATCAACAAACCTTAATGTTCTATAAGCTTCAACAACTAAACAAGCAACTCTTTTTGAAAACCCTTTTATTTAACAAATTATAGTCCCAGTCTTACTCTTAATTATTATACTTGGTTAGTTTATATGTGTTGTTATTATATTTAACCTTCAATTTTGAAAATATCCAGCGACGCGTAAAGTTTGATTTAATTTTTATGAAAATGGATTTAATTTTACGCGTCAAGCTGATTTGAAATATTTTGATATGAAGGTGATAAATATTTATTAAGACAGGATATAAAGGATTAGATTATCGATTAATTGTTAGTTTTAATTTGGGGAATTGGAACATGGTCTAGAGTGTGTCTGTGTTTGTGTTTGTGTGTGTGTAGGTTATGCTTGGGTCAGGTAATGTGTTGCCGGTAAAGATACAACCTCCTTTGTTGAGACCGTTGGCTTATCGAATTCTATCCAAGAAGTATGGTTTAAATATAAAATCTGATGGGTTAGTTGCTCTGGCAGAGTTTATTGGTGGTGCTTTTGGGATTGAGTGGAAGAAGAGTGGAGATACGATATTGTTTTTGGAGAGGTTTGCTACTATTTGGAAACAGCAGGAGCGTGGGATCTTTATTGATGCTAATGGTGTGAATGAGGTTATATCCGAGTTGAAAGAAAGAGAAAAAACTACTATCAAGAAGAAGAGTGTCGAAGAGAGAAAGAGTGGTAATGGGGGAGTCAAGACGTTGGATAGCTTTTTGTTGCAGAAAGCTTCTACTCCTCTCGATGAGGCTGAGGATTCTGAAGTAGCAATGGAACCGAAAGATAAAAATACTATGGATCTAGAGGATGATGAATCAAGGGCTTCTTCAACATCCCCGGTGGTTCTCGAGACAGATGAAGTCACTGAAGATGAAATGGAGGTTGAAAATGTACAAGAAGAAGAAGAGAACGAGGATGAGGATGGGGACGTTGAATTGGATTGGAGAAATTATTTCAAAGTGATCAACGCTTCAGAACAACAGAGGTTTTCTTACGATCCATACAAATTACAATTTGTATTTCAACCTAGTTTTAGAAAGGCCAATCTGGCTCAAAATAGTTATAATAATAACAACAATAGTACCCGTCTACAGAGTTTGAATCAATTGAGGTTGCCAGATGTTGATTCTAAGATTTCAATCTTCCCGACCAGATATAATCTGATTAGAGATAGGATTATGAGAAACGAAGCCTTCCAAAATGATACAAATTTTAACCCATTATCTTCAATGATTTCGATGAAAAATGCCATGAATTCAAATGAAAATAGCATCGCTTCTGGTATGTCATTGACTTTAATTAAAAATCTATTGGGAAGAAACGGGAAAAACTTCCTTTTACTGGGGTTGATTAAGAAAAATTCAAAAGGTAAATGGGCTTTAGAAGATACATCTGGTGTAGTAGAAATAGATTTAACACAAGCAATACCAACAAGTGGAGTTTATTACGTCCCTGGATGTATCGTATTAGTTGAGGGTATCTATTTTACCTCTGCTAATACCTTTCACGTTAGTTCAATTACTCATCCACCAGCAGAAAAACGTGAAATAACTCTAGAAGCAATTGGTAATATTGATTTATTAGGAGTACACGGAATTTCAACTCCAAATTATATAGCAAAATTGGATTCAAATTTAAAGTTAAGATTACATTTTTTGGAAAAAGAATTAATTGATCATAAATTTTTAATACTGGGAGGTGATTTGTTTTTGGATGATATGAATACCATATCAGCTTTACGTAAACTTTTCACAAAAATTAACGATGATCCGCCAACAGTTATAATATTCCAAGGTTCATTCTCTAGCACACCGGTTCATGCATCAACTCAAAATAATGGTATAAGTTCAACCAGTCGATATAAAAATGGATTTGATACATTGGCAACATTATTGTCGCAATTTGATTACTTAACTGAGTCTTCAACTATGATATTTATACCCGGTGCCAATGATCCTTGGAGTTCGATGGTTTCTTTAGGGGCTACAAGAATTTGGCCCCAGAAATCAATCCCAAATTATTTCACACAAAGAATTAATAGAGTCTGTAAAAACGTCATTTGGGGTTCTAACCCGACTAGAATTGCATATTTAGCACAAGAAATTGTTATAACAAGAGACGATATAGCTGAAAGATTCAAAAGGAATAGCATTTATCTCCCTGCTGTGGAGGAAGCCAAAAAAGAAGAACTTTTGATACAGCAGGAAAAGGAAAGAGAAAGATTAATAAATGATCCAGACAATATTCAACTAGAAACATTAAGTATAGAACAAAATAAACTTCCCGCTAAAGTTAAAGAGTCCAGAAAAATTGTTAAAACAATTTTGGATCAAGGTCATTTATCTCCATTCTTGACATCTATAAAACCGGTCATGTGGGATTTGGATCATGCTTTAACTTTATATCCAATCCCTTCGACTTTAATAGTTACTGACCTATCAGCACCACCATATGAGGTTACTTACAACGGTTGTAAAGTACTTAACCCAGGCATATTTATAAACAATAGACGTGCAAGGTACTTAGAATATTGTCCTGCTTTAAAGAAAGCAACACAGGAGGAATTATATTTTTAATAACTGCATCTTATAGAAGTTCACTTTGATAAAACCACATAAAAAAGCAAACAATTTTATTAAGAGTATAGATAGAATTTCATCAATTTATTATTTCGTTCACCATTTTATAAATCTATTAATATATACAATAAATTATTTATCATATGGGTATTTTTTAAACTTTGAGGTGACAGATACAGGCATGCAATAAGCGGGATCGATAGGATCAAGATTTTCGAACCCCATTAAACTTAAACCTGCTATCCCAAATACAGTATGGTATACGTCAACTTCATTTTCAGGTCTATCGCTTATTCCACCTTTCTTTTCATCTTGACTTTGTAAAATGAATGCTCTCAATTTGTTGTAATCAATCCAACTTAATTTGTCAATTATTGATAACGATGATAAGACCCACCAACTATAACAGACATCCGGTAGTTTACTAGGTCTACCATTAAGGCCACCTTCTGGAAGTTGTCTTTCACATAACCACCATCCTAACTCTTCCATTTGTGAATCACTTAATTTGCCTAACTTATTTACAATTGCCAGGGTTCCCAAACATGTAAACGCTTGAGCAGCATGACTTTCAGCTCCTGGACATAATCCAAACCCACCATCAAAATTATAACATCTTAAAATGTATTCTACTGCAGGATCTACAATCTCTGGTGTCAATTCACCTAAAATCGATAAACTACTTATAGCATTATACACAAATCTTGTATCGACTTCACCAAATCTGTCACCTTGAAAAGAACCATCCTTCATTTGATTCCCTTTGATAAAAGCAACACACTTTTCTCTAATATCACGAGCATTCATGGAATCTAATGCATCGTATGTAGCAAGTATTTGAATAGCTGATAAAGTAGATAACATATGTCCATCATGGCCTGGGAATGGAGCAAATCCGCCGGATCTTTCATCCCAACAACTTATAACAAATTCAATAACATCCTCTTTTTTGAAAGTATCTTTAGCATTCAATAAGCACAATGCTGTCAACCCCCAATAAACACCATTCAATCTAAGGTGTTCTGATAACCAGTATTCATAATCTTCCTGCTTCTTATCTAAAGAATCGATATATTTAATGTGTTTATCTCTTAGAAAAACAATATTCTCACTCTCACTCATTTCAATTGACATTAGAAGGATATCAGCTATCAATAAAACGTTATCGATAACCTCTATAGCTGGTCTTTATTGTTTCTATTCCGTTGCTTAAGGTTATAGTTAAGTTACCAATTTCTGAAATATCTTATACCTCGGGTTTTAAATATGATAATATCAAAATATCAAAGCTCATCGATTTTTCAATGTATTTAAAACATAACAAACCTAATATTTAAAGGTAATTGCAAGGGATGCGGCTGTTTATTTTGTACATATAATTGGTCTGGATTGTTCTCAACAGTGTGCTGATATCTGAGTTTTAATATGTCTAAGAAATCTGTTTATTTAGAAGATTTAGAAGTCGATTTAAATTACCGAAAAGGTGATGATAAAAGCATCAATGAAAGGTTAAGAGAATTGGAATTTCAGCGTAATCAAAGGTTAAAGGATATTCCTACTATTGACGAAGAAGTCAGGATAGCGTTAGAAGTCATTTCCGAATTGGTTGATGTTGATAATGAAGATAATCGAAGCAGGAGAGAAAGATTGATTCATATTCTATCTAATGATATTAATAAATGGAATAAATATGAAGAATACTTAAAATCTAAAAAAAATGGTAATGAAGAAGTAGGTGAAGTGGATGAAGAAGATGCGGAAGAGGAATTTTATACTCCTGCTAATCAGAGTTTTATTGATGTCAGACAATTTTTAATACAATATTCTATAGAAAAATCCTCACAAAGATTGAAAAAAGAACAATCCTTATTGAAGGATTTTAATATGAAATCTGAGATTCTCTCAAGGAGAGCAATGTACAAATCATTGACCACAGTTCAATTGAATGGTTCCCAGGTGATATCCAGCAGGCCAATTTCAAAAATTTGTATTTCTCCTGAGGGAACATGTACAGCTGCAGGCAGTTGGGCTGGTGATATCTCTATATTCAATACAAAGACATTAGCTCCAGTAATTACTTCAAGAGAAACACATTCTGGGAAGATTAGTGGGATTGATTGGTCCTCAGATAGTCGACACCTTGTTAGTGGTGGAGAAGATGGCATTGTTAAACTTTATAATTTCGATTCCAATTCAATACAAGTGGCAACCAGTTTCATCGGTCATGATGCAAGGGTAACCAATGTTAAATTCCATCCTTCTCAGAAATATATTGGAAGTGCCTCCTTCGATACAACATGGAGGCTTTGGGATATAGTCACCAACTCTGAACTTCTGCTGCAAGAAGGTCATTCAAAGGAGATCTATAGTTTATCTTTCCAAACTGATGGGTCTCTTATAGCAACTGCTGGTGCAGATAAAGTAGGGATAATATGGGATCTTAGATCAGGGAAAAATATTTTATCTCTGGTAGGCCATGCTAAACCAATATATTGTTCTGATTGGTCTCAAAATGGTTATCAA